TTTCTTAATGAAAATAGTCGTATTAGGAGTAATAGTAAATTGTCCCTCGAAAACTGTCTGGTGGTTAATGCTGGCTTTTGATCTAGATGAAATTAATCAGATTTGATTGGTTCAGTTTGTATTCATGTCTTTCTGATGCATGTCTTATTCAGATCACAGTAAAGTATCTAACAATAGGACTATACATGTTATAGGTCTAATCCTCAATTGAATCGGGTGTATATTTGACATTTTGATTTTACTAAAAAAAAAAAAACTACCAACATTACATTTCCGAGGTTGTACGGTGCTTTTCCGTAGAACACTGTGAACGTTAATTTCAAGCGAGGTCATGACGTCACGAATTAATTGGCTGTAGCCGACACAGGACATTTGGTTCCTGGTAAATGATATATGATTGGTTTCTTTGAATTTTACGAAACAATGACTGACGGACGGAACTACTTTCGGGTCCTTTGGCGTTTGATCTATTAGAATTACCATGATGGGGAAAAAGCGCTACATGTACATGTATTACGTTATTGCAACAAGTTTCCGGAAATCATTGCATAGTACTTGATAAAGCCACGTTCAAACAAGGGAGTTTTTCATGATTGACAACGTAAATATAGAAGTGATATGCAACAGCTCGGGTGGCAATCCCGTAATTTAGCCTACCTCAAAATCGTATATTACAGACGCATGTTGAAGGGTGTGTATCACGGATTGAACAAATGTTTGTTTTTCGAAATTTTGTGAGGGGAATTGACGTTTGTATGACGTTGAATGAAGACCCAGAATTCTAAGATCTCTGACAGAATGCACGCATGGACTGGGTGTTTATTTTAAATTCTTATAGGTGTAATTGTATTTTTAATAGGCTAATATCGTATAGGGAAGACATGTTACTGGACCAAGACATTTATTCTACGTTGTTATTTAACGTAATTTTCCAAAGCTTTCCTGTAAATGAAATTAACGATTTCAATCCATTTATCCTGGTGCCGAAATTAAAAACGTGAAACAGAAACACTAGGATAGGCCAACTATAAATATTTTGTAACCTCCAAAAATTATGGTAGTTTCTTCAGATTATCCTTTGTGTCTCCTGAAGCGAGGTTCCCGGAAGTCAAGATGGCAATTGTTCTTGATGTTTATATATGTAGAATTTCATGCCAGATCTGGACGATCCCTCTCACACCGCTCCCAGTTCCTTGAGCTAATAAACACCCTCGAGTCATTTATCCAATATACAACAGTGTAAATAGACCTAATGGAAAATCCTCGCAACTCAGTTCAGTAGCTCTGGCTCATCGAACCAATATGTTTTCTATGGTCATCCACCTACACAATTTTCTCATCAGATTGATTTAATTATATTTTTCCACGAATTCGGTAGACGCATTTTAAAAAACCCAAAATAATTGAGATTTCCTTCAATTTAAAAAACGTATGGCCCCTGACCCATCATGACTTTCGAACCGAGGGTAGTCCGACCAATGGCCAAAAATGTAAAAATGTGATACTCTTTCAAGTTGCACAAAATAATATGATATTAACCTTAAATTTCAAGCCCATGCACGGCCCTCTCACCAGATGTTTCCTAGAAACGCCACGTTTATAGACAACCTTCCTTTTCAACCAAGACAAACAGACCCATAACAATATCTTTAATTAAATACTGAGCTCGTTATATAAAACCTTATCGTGAGATCAAATCTTAATCTGAAATCATTCAGACAACTGGAATGCAGCAAAACAGGTTACTTTAAGACTGATTAAGAATAGTAAATGATTCAAGGACCTTCAGTAAGGTCAAACAGGTACGGGAGAGGCTGCAAAACTTTTGACACTGCACGCATATGTATATAATTGCATTATACATAAATGCGACAGACAACACTCCTTTTTCTTGAGCCTTTGTAGTGGCAGCTGCTAAAGTCCGTCTTTCAATCCGTTGCGTCACTGTTTTATGACCAAAGATTGTAATTCAGGTTGTTGCGAGGTGCCATAATAAATTCGGATCGGAAGATTTCACACAATGGTCATTCTGCCCGATAGGCTCACCGAGTGGATCACTTGTAACAAGAAGTGTTTAAGATGGGTTCATTTATTTTCATTTATAAAAGTGAAAATGCTAATACTTATATGAATAGAAAGTAGAGGTATTCTTATGACTTTGAAAAATACCAGCTTATCTCAGGTCGATAATTTATTCATAATTAGCTAAATTAGAAGAGAATTACCAGCAGAATTCCAATGAGTGACCGATGAATAAAGGTCAAACAGTCTTTTTATGTTTATCCAGGCTGTACATACATGAGCATTTATGATTGGTTAAAACTCTTAATTATATGCAATCAGAACATAAAGATATATGATTAAGAATACCTGATGATTCATTAAAAGCACCAATTTGTCAAATAGTTTGCTTAATTGGACATTGAAAATATAAGGAAACCCATCTTGAAATCAAAATGTTCTGCAAAGCAGTGTTCAATAACCGCAGAAAGTGGTCTCCTAATTATGCCATATAAAAATTGTACCTTCTATTCAGAAATGTTTCAGTAATTTATTTAAGACTCTATGCCGATATTATCCAAATAATAAGTAATTAATTTGTTTTAATACGCTTTCCACCTGTATCGTTTAGTAGCCTACATAACGAGAAGATAATTATGTCCTCATGGGGTCAAAGTTGAATTTACATGTTTCAAAGGGTCAAGGGTTGGTAACAATGATATATGGATTAAGAACACAAAAATAGAACAATAAATATTTGAGATTGAAGAGTCTAGTGGTACGTGACGAGATACTGGCCCGGTTATTCACCCAGAATATGATCTGATGATGTGTAACTTGTAATAAAATCTAACGTTTAAGATTTACAATATACATTGCTGTACCATAAACGCTTCAGTTTCAATGTAGGCTATTATTATGCACAAGATCTACTCGCCATTTACTGTGAGTTGGTTAAAACACAAATAGACCATCAATTTAAAAACAATGTTGATAGAGATTAGGAACTGACTCATCTTATATGCGAATAGGGTTCTGGTTAAAAAATGAATTTATTTTCAAAGAGCTACTTAAGGGTTATTTCCCTTACATTACAAATGAAATGAATGGAGTTTTAAGTCCTACTTTTCTCTGCACCATGTGACCAAATGAAGACGGACAACGCCATGAAGGGTGCTATGAGGGAAATTTTACCAGGGCAGTAGCATAATCCTGCTCTTTTTTAGATTTTCAACTGTCGAGGGATCTTTAACGTGCACAGCCTGTAGCACACAGGGCCTCGGTTTATTGTCCCATACGAACCTTGGACCTTCAGGTTTAGCATGCAAGCGCCTAACTCACTGAGCCACCCCCCCTTTAATTAAATACCAAAAAAAAGAAAGAAAAAAAAAACACGTAAAGGCTTTAGTTTTCCAAGAATCTATATAGTGGATGACATGGGTGTGAGCTACATTGTCTGGCAAATATCCTTTAAAGTAGTTTTGCAAAAAAGTAAAGATAGCTTGCCAGGCAAGGTAACATACGCCCACTACCAGCTGTCAGAAATGACAACAAAGTCTGTAGTGGTTTAATATGTGAAACCAATCATCCGATTTTTTAATAATTCCAAGCTTTACTGATATCTCATACCAAGTTTCATCAAGATCGTATAAAAAGTATAGTCTCTATAAGGCCTACAAGCCTAATTAGATGCATAGATTTAATTCAAGGGCAATAACTCCAAAACCTTGATCTTGTCCATATATACATGCATTCCAAGTTTCATTGAGATCAGATAAAACTGCACCCTGTTTCATGAGTACAAGTCAAATTTGTAGGGTTTTTACTAAATCAAGGCCAATAACCCTGAAATCGTTCATCCAATTATTACTAACTTCAAACTTGACCGAAATCTCATCAATATATACATATCATATACTAAGTTTCATCAAGGTGGGATCAAAATTGTAGCCTTTATCGTGCATACAAGCCAAATTTAACGCGTTTTAACTAAGTCAAGGGCAATAACTCTGAAACCCTTCGTCCGATTATTACCAATTTTGAAATTGACCGAGATCTCATCAATATATACATGCATACTAAGTCTCATCAAGATCAGATAAAAACTGTAGCCTCTATCGTGCATACCACAAATGTGGACGAACGGACAGGGGCGACGACAATATACGTCCTCATTTTCATGTGGGCGTTTAAAAATGAAATGCAATCAAAGTTTAGGCCTACATGTCAAGGGCATTAACTGCACTGCGAGTCTTCATACACATATTTTGTCGTCCAGTATAGAATTTCGAGCTCATCATTCCTCTGTCTAGCGTTAATTGTTACAGACTGGTAGAGACAAAGATAATGTTTATCGTTAGACTTATAAGCTTATTAAGGTGTTGAGATGTACTAGTCTTATGATAATAAACTGATATATCATAAGATATTCACACGGAGGTAAGATAAACTCTCTATCAGTAGATTTACATGTAATCACCTATCAGGTGTGGGGGTGTTCATATCATGTGCTTTTTTGATTTACATTCATATAAGAAATTCCTCGTGATGGTGAATTTTAAATATTACATGTGCTAAGTACAACACTCTCGTATGATAGTACTATCCATCCATGATCTAACAAATTGTTATGCAACAGAGATTCGAGGCCATTAATGCATTTAACCAATCAAATGCGCTTTCAACTTGTAAAAACTGTTTTTGATTCGTATTCCTACAGAACTTTGCCTAATACGTTGGTATATATCGACCTCTACGATACCGTGTCTCGTCTTGCGAAAGATACTGGGAGAAGTGCAAGATAAAGGTACCATTTCGCCGATTTCAAACATCTGAAAGGATGTGCACATATTGGTAATCATGCCATAAATGATCGAAACTTGTTTTTTATGCATCCTCTTTTTGTCAAGGTACGAATGGCACATTTCAGCTCATAACAATAAAAAAAAGATGCGATAACCAGGTTAAAAACAGGGGCTACCTTTATTATTTCATCCCAGACATTTAGTTAGCGCCGATAGACGCACAACTGGCTATAAGGTATCCTTCTTACCGTAATATAACCCATGCTCTCAAAGTATTTTCCGCAAACAACGAACTTCCAACCAATGTTATGCATATCCCATAGAGCCTTAGTCAGATAATTATAGTCGACAATGCTTAAATATTCATAGTGCATCACGACCAGACTCCCTTAGCTCTTTTCGATTAACCAATGGAAAATCAAAATTATAGTTGTCTTTGCATAGAATTAAGCGTCTTGTAAAAGTTTTGGTTGACTTACAAGACATTTTGAAGTTTTTATTCTTAATACAACAATTTTTATTAACCTTTTGAATTCTTGTAATAGTACAAGACATGTTTGTATCTGTCTTCATTTACAAGCTGATTACACTCTCTTCAATTTACTATACCATCAACTCAATAAGATGAACCGTTGACAATTCAATCTATTGGTGGCCATTTTGATTTGAGATCATAATGGGCTGCTTCTGGTAACCAACTGCAGTATTCTTCATATAAATCTAACAAAATTAGAACACAGGGTGTTAAACAGCAAACGTTGCTAAATAAATGTGTTAAATTAAAACTGGAATAGAATGATGTAACAAAATTTTCCATCCACGTTTATTATGTTTTGTTTGTGTGTGTGTGGTAATATGGTGTTCTCTCTTAATGATATAAGAACCGCCTATTTTTGCTTAGTCATCTTCTATGATTACTTTCATGTACTTCCAGATATTTCATCAGCCAAATGACTCAGCAGTTTCTGTTTTTTTGTTGGCCTTGTTTCAACCATTCAAAGTGTGATCATGACCTTCTGAATGAGGTTTTAGGTAATAGAAGATGGTGATACAGGAATAAATGTCAGAAACACTGGCTATCATGAAATATATGCTGTCTAAAACAAAACATTTCTGAATAGCAGACAATAATCCATACTCTTACAGTGACACAATCGTTTTTTCGTGCAATGGAAGAAATTCCAAGTGACCAAGTATATCTTATTTATAGGCCAGATTGCTGTACAGGAAGATTAATTCTAAAACTATACTTACATGTTGGTTGAGTTGTCCAGATCTCTAATAATCTATTTCTATTAGTTGTATTTTTACCTATTAAAGCTTGTAATAATATCTCTGTTCGAGGCTGTAGTCTGAAAAGTTATTAATAATTGTTTGAAATATATTGCATAATGTTTGGTAGCATTAAAACTTAATAGAAGTCAGTTGAGCTGTTAAATGAACCATAAAGAAAAAAGAAAAACACATTTTTTATAAGGATAACATAGGTTCAAGCAAGAGGATGTTCTCTACCAGCTGATCCTTGGCCAAACCTCTTGGCATTAATCTTTCTAGGATTATCAGTATCAATTTACAGATGGGTAGACTGGAATAATGAGGAAAGATGGGGTTTCAATGTTTTTCTCTGAAAGTCCATTCCTGATACCCACGATTCAGACCTGCCTGAAACTTCATCCTGTTTTCACTATAATTTATAAACTTACTTGGCCCATGATTTGATCATGGTAGCTGGTGTTGATAATAAAATATTAACAAATTCTTTTAATTTTTTACAAACTTGACCTTCTAATAAAAACCTGGCAAACCATCTGAATTTATCAATATTATGAGGATATTCCATTGGGACTGCTTTAATTTCCCAATTACATCTACCTGTTATAGAAAATGAAAAAGGATTCAGCTATGACAGCTTAAGACATTTCAATGCAAGAAAAGGATTTAAGCACAAAATTGCTTCTTTGTCCATTTCCATATAACCATAACAAAACAATCTTTACAATCTAATGAAATTAATTTTTACACAAAACTTTTTTGCTTATGACTGGGCTAACATTAGCCTTCTCCTTTTGAATTTCAAACTTTTGAATGAGGCATGAGAAATCTAAATTACAAAAATCTTATGATACTATCGTAACCTATGCTCAGAATCCAACCCAAGGACTCCACTGTTTAAAATGAAGAATGCATTGTGAATATATTCAAATAATTGAAGTCTATAACCTACCATAAGAACTAGATCTATAACACATGACTTCACCACTTAGATTATCATAATAAGGTTGTGGATCTTCTAATGGTTGTGAGAGGTTACAATGATATTCACCAAATAATGGCAACCATTCAGCTTCGATACCTACTATACCTACAAAATACGATATGTTATATTACACACAATAGACACAAGCGATTGTATAGCAAATCTACGGCCTCTATTGCAGTTCCAAAGCCAATGGGAGACGGATTGACCAACAGAGGAAATAGCAATATACATCCATGTGAGTGTATAAAAATCTATTAGCAATTGATGATAGAATTTGAAATTTTACTATGGGGACAAATGGCCTTTTCTTTTAGCAGAATCAGATACATTAGTCTCTGTTAGAGACCAACCATATGGTTACTCTGATCACCATCCAAAATTAACAGAATTACAGAGATAATTCATGTACATATGGTTCATCATCTTATAAAAATAATCAGAATTAGGGTATTTGGGATATGACCAAAAATTCTTCTTCAATGCTGCCAAATTATTTTCACAAAACAATTTCACAATATCTTTCGGATCTTTCACTAAATACCAAGAACCTGTCTGTTTTACAATCTGATAAAGCAACATCAACAGTGAAAGGTAATCAAATAATATTTTTAATGTCTGACATTTACCAGGTTTTCAGGTGTGGGCAGACTGACTGTTGCATCAGATAACCTTTAACTAGAGTTACCTACCTTTCATATACAGTTTAGATGTTTCTGTTATATTTTGATAAACAATAAAATCACATTTCTCTTTAAATAGAACAGATGATGGATGAATAAATACTGGTTCTTCTAATTCCATACACTGTAATAAGAAATTGCTGAATTACCATTACATATCACTATTCACTTAGGTTTTGGGAGACTGCTTTCTGTACAAATTGTGGTGTTGCTTATATTCATTAACCCATAATATGTCAAAAATTAACCTATCTTATATTATTTCTTATTTGCTCCTTTAATATTTAACTACTGAATTTCTTTTCATTTTACATCTTTAAATCTAAGTGCTATGCCAAATGCATGACTGTTTTTATATCCATATTTTCCATTTCAAAACAAATGTAATTGGAAATTACTGGCAATTCACATATTATATTTTACATATATATACCTGATAAGAATGTTTCAATCTTCTGACTTCATCACTAGCACCAGGTGGAGGATCTGCATTTCTCCTGTAATATAATTCAGAACATTTTAATATTACTAGTAGTTACAGGAGAGTCTTTCAGGGGTCATTATAAGCGAAATACTTCCTACTGCTCACTAATAAATCTTCACTAACAAGATTTAGCATTTCATCTAGGATTCGCAAATCAAATTCCATTCAACCATATTAGGACATTGAAATATGAAATTAAGAATATTATATATACAAAATCTATAAAATAAAATGCAAGATGTTTTTACCTTGCTACATGATCAGCTAAACCAGCCAATACAATCTGCCGTAACATTTTACACTGTATATCACTAGGGGGAGATAACTTAGGATCTATACATAAATTAGCATCTGGTATAACCATATTTACTGAAATAGACAAGAATGGAATTGTAATAGTTAAGTAATACCTCCAGATTGAACAATTAGCACTGCTGTGCAGTGTGCAATGAAGGAAAGTCATGCACTTCAAATGAAACGATTTTCCAACATACATTATATTACACCATGTATTTGTAAAATTCCATGATTTTCATGTCTGTCTGAATTTGGTGAAAATACCATCAGGGCCTACCTGTATTTGTCAGTTGAGCTCGTAGTTTTCTAATTTCTTTCATAGCTTTAAATCTTATACCAAATTTATGACAGAAATCAGTTGTAAAGCCCTGATATTCACAGGCTCCTACTGCTTTCAGTAATACCATTAAATCTCCTAGTAATAGTGATTCACCCTACAATAAAAACATAGTCATATTGTTGTCTGTTTTATTTCATAAATTAACTAAAGTTATTTCCCTTGGGTAAATAATGTCAACATACAGGACATATATAGAGCTTTGAAACAGAGCCAGGTTTAAATTTCATTTATTAGCAGTTTTGTAACCTAATTAAAATATCTTACCCCTCCTGCCCACAGTTTTCTTATCTGTGAATTTCTGATTTGTTTATGCTTTGATTCATCCAGCTGAAAAAAAAACTCAAAAAATGACCATCAAATGTATGCCTGCATATATCAAACTCCAAAAGTAAAGATCAGATTTCTTGATGATACAATCGTTTCCTTTTGTTATTAGGTTTTGTTATTTGTTATCATTTTGGATGCAAATCATGTAAACAAGGTACCATTCTAAAATATGCAATTTTCAGAATAGTTTTGCAACAGTCATTTAATGATTTTAATGTCATGAAGAAAAAATATCTTTAGATATGAACTTTGTAAAAACTTTCTCAAATCAAGCATTTAAAAAATAGAGGGCTACCTGATCAGACTGTTGATAAGACTGTATAAATAATTCATCTACAGATAAAGCTGATACTATAGCTATAACATAAGGTAATAAATCATGTTGATGCCCAAGAGCTAGTATTCTAGCATAACGTGGTGAAACAGGAAACCTTGCCATACCTCGACCTAATGGTGTTATCTTTGTACAATCTGAAATAGGAAGACCAGTTAATGACCTGCTTTAAAATGCAATGATCTAATTCATGTGTGTTTATTTCCATCGAAAAAAATAAAAGCTTGGTAAAGCTGTCATTGCACAACGCATGGTTGTACATTCAACTTCAAATTCAATTTCTGGAAAGCCAGGCAAATGTGAAAGTTCAAAGTAAATGCTCTGAATCAAATGGAACAAGATTCATTCATATTCAGTATATTTTGTAAATCAAGATGGTGGACCTACCTTTATCTTTACTACCCTTTTTACGTTTATGAGTTTTTTGTGGAGGGTATGATAAGGCTCCAAGTGAGATTAATAACTGTTCAGCTGCCTACAAAGAAATTATACATACATTCTTATTTGTTTATCAGACATAACACAATAGTCTATTTTACTTTCTTAGAAAATGAGAACACAATATCTTCAACCAAAAAAAAATATTAAGCAAATAGAATTTTGAAAAATATTTATTGCGTGAAAAGAAATGAATTTTAAGAATACCTTTAATTGGTCTAAATCAGGTGGTGTTGGGTAGGGAAAATTCTGTACTTTATCTATGTTCATTTCCTATAAATAATTAATAAAACAATAACAACTTAATTGATCATTATGAAGTCTACAGGTTCTGCTTTTTTAATATGTATACTACATTGTATAGTCAAATTGAGTTTTATATCCTTTGGTTGTCAAACTCTCAGTGAAGAAAGATGAATGGTGAAAAGCACATGGAGTCTGGGTTTATTGTGCGATCTGCTTTCCATAACTGAATTTGAATTTTTCTTTCTTGTGCTTATCATATTGTTTACCTTCATTTGTAAGAGAAGGTCATCTACAGGTCTTCTACTAATTTCTGGTGGTGAAAATTTCTCAAAATCATCATTAAATACAGCTGATGAAAATAATCTGAAATAAACACAAGATGAGTTTATACCAACATTCTTTCATTTTAAGAAAGTTAAACCATACAAGGATCTCATCAAATACATAAGCAATCACCTTTTCATCAGAATCTGACCAAAACTAGCTAATATTCCACAGGCAAAACATCTCATCTTCATACATCAAAATTTCATAAAAATCTCATCCATATATTAACAAAATTTCATCAAAATCCCATTAGCCTGTGGAGTGGACATATAAAAACCAGTGATACTGACCTATAACAATGACCAGGTGAAATACGACCAGCTCTACCAGCACGTTGATTAGCAGCAGCTTGTGATGTCCACGTTATTTTAAATGTCGATACACCAGTAACTTTATCATAGAACTTAGTCTTCACCTATAATATATGACAAATCTTTCAGATACATACTGACGGCCATTTCTAATAACATCAATACCAAAATAATAGCATTGTGAACTCTGTACATGGAACACATAACTTATAGATTATTAAACTAAGTCTTTCATTTAACAAAGACAACTGTTAAGGATATTAAAAGTACTAAAATAACAGCAATGTGGACTCTTCTAATAGAATGAAGAGTTGACAAACCCAGTTGCAGAATGACATTAACAACTTACATACTAACATGTACATGCATCAATGTTCTAATCAACAACGGTTGTTCTTCATAATTGATTTAATTTGATAAAAATATTTACTCAACTTTCAATAAATTGTGATTGATACCCACCTTCCCTGTATCAACAACATATTTAATATTTGGTATAGTTAATGACGTTTCAGCTACATTGGTTGATATTACACATAATCTACACCCTGCTGGTACAGGCTCAAATACTCTCACTTGTTTATGACTGGGTAACAGAGAGTACAGTGGTAGAACATAGAGTGGACTTTCACTTCCAGTCTCTTCTTCTAGCTATAAAGACATTAAAGGTTACCACATAATAATAATATTCTAGATTCCCTACAAGTCAGTCACAAACCAAGAATCTGTACAAGATTACTGATGCTACAAATTTATATATATAAATGTATTCTCTATCTTAAAATCCACATTACAATAGGCTAAAAAAAATTAAAAAATCAATAGTATATTTTAAAAACTATTTCTAGGAATCAGAAAGCTACACTCTTAATGGTCAGACACTCTAGGCCAACCCAGTACCTCATATATGATATACAGATATATCACAAGCTTATATCACGTGGATTAGCGTGTGGGACCAGAGTTTTTGAGCTGGTCAGAAATGTAAGGAAAACATGAAGCATACAGACCTCTTCTTTGTTCTTTTCACCTTCAGATTCTGAATCAGACATTAGGTCAAGGTCAGAATCATCACCAAGGACATCAAGTTCACCCTCTTCATCAATTGGTTTAATAGAATAACTGTAACAAACATATAGTTGAAGTTAGACACATTTTTATTAGTTTGAACTCACTGACAGGAGAAAACAAGGATATTTGAACAATATAATTCCTAAATAGGGCAAGATAATCCAGCCCTAATACTTTAATGCTGGCTCACTGGATTGTAGGCATTGAATATCATTAAATTTATTAATAGTCCTTACTTGTTCAAATCTACTTTAGGAAGTTCAATTTTAGGTTTAGAAATTATTTTCTTTTCTTTCTTTTTTTCTTTTTTCCTTTTTCTTTCTTTCTTTCTCTCTTCCTTCTTATCAGGAATAACTGAAATAAAATATTGTATTTAAATTGCAAGGAACAGGCCATAATGTCAATCTTCTATGGAATACAACACTTTTTCTCTAACCTGAAGATCCAGGGTTTAATCCTAGCATAGTTCAAGATAATAAATTTTGATTTTTTAACCAGGTGATATAGTTTGGAGGGGCTGTCATGGAAATCATAAAAGGAAGGCTAATGCAGCTGTTCAGGCAAAAATGTCCTCACACAATGCATGGTGGCTCATCTTCATTATCATTGAAATTAGGTTCAAGATATTTCAAAACTTGTAGTTGCCCACCCACTATAATTTTTAAAATTAAAGAATAAATTACCTTTATTGGGATTAAATGGGAACATCTGACGTAATTTATGAGATAAAGTATTAACTTCTTGTTGTCCTGTTACAAATATTAATATACCACCATCTGGTAACATACGATGTATCTTACAAACCTATATAACATTATAATATAATATTTGATAAAATTACTCCTGAATAATTATAGAACTGCTAACTGAATAAGCCCACATTTGGTAACTATTCTGAACCAATACTCTTCTAAGAGACCACTAAAGGCACTGATTTGGATTACTTCCTTGAGTGGTCTTTTAATAGAGTTTCTACTGTACATGAAATATCTTTGAAACATACTAGGATATCTTAACATACCAAGTTCAAGGATAGCTAGATTGATGTCACAAATATTTGATCACATTTCAAAAAAATCGTCAGAAATGGATTATTCTGTATAGTCAGAAATGGATTATGTAGCAGGCCAAATATTTGAATGGAATTATAAACAGTTGGAATTGAAAATAACAAAATTACCTTTTTAAATGCTTCAGCTAAGTAATCATCAGTAGGTGTTCGTTTATTAAAATGTATAGTAACAGGAAACTGTCTAGAGTTAACTTTTAATACTGGTGGTGAAACTTTAAATAACTGTTTATTTTCTGTGAAATCTTCTACTCTTAATGTAGCTGACATAATTATCATCTTTAATGGTTTACCTTTCTGAAAGGAAAGAAAAATTGTATTGACAATTAATAATGATAGACTTTTCACTCTAGTTCATTCTGTCCCTTAACTTTGCTCACAAACATTCTAAATTGAAAAATTGACCATGTGTCTGCAGAGTAAGATGAGCTCTGAGATAATACAAGGTTACTTACTTTGTTTCTAAGTGGTACAATTCGAGATAATAACCCAATAAGTATATCAGTATAAACACTTCTCTCATGAGCTTCATCAATAATAATCACACTGTATTTATTCAACATAAAATCCTGAAAAAATTAACATAAAATTAAACAGAACTGTGATCACTATGTATGCTTTAGCACCAGACTCATCAACAGATATAAATAAACTGTCAAAAATAGAATTTAATCATAGGTCTACAGTCTAATGTGTTATGTATGAACAGTCATACATATTCAGGTGGATCCTTTAATCAACGACCAGGATTGCTTTAAAATATAACCAAACAGTCTGGCCCTTTATGAAGCAATTTTAAGTATTCGAATATTATACAAATTAAATACAGTTAGAACTCATTTTTGTAGTGATGTTTGTCACAAGTTTTGTTTATGCAAATGAAATTTAAGAGACATACATATTCTATAATAGATAACTTATTACCTGTTGAACTTCTTTTAGTAACACACCATCAGTCATAAACTTTATTCTGGTTTTAGGTGTAACATTTCCTTCATAACGAATTTGATAAGATACTTCCCTATAAAAAGCAAGAAATTACTAAATACAAAACACACTTGTTATTGTATTGTAAGCTTGCTTTATTCTTGTGTTTTATCATTTATAATCTTTCAACAATTAATATTGTCATCAACAGGCAAAATGAGGAAATAAAAATGTTATGGATTAAGAAAATATTGTAATATCAGAGATAATATACTTAAATGAGAAAAACTTACTCTGTAGATAAATTCATCTCCATAGCAACACGCTGTGACATACTAATAGCAGCAACTCTTCTAGGTTCAGTCACACCTATTATACCTCCACAACTGAAAACACAAAAACATCAGATGTGTAAAATAATCATTTTCCTTTTAAATTCATTTTCAAGTTTCTTTTATTTCAGAGGATCAAATAGATAACATCATCTTGAATCTCAACCCTGCGAAAACATATGAGAGATTCATGAAATGACATGACACTTCTTTGCACCTTTTTGGGCAACACCGTCAGTGTGCGGTTTAATGAAATTTTGCTACCACAGCAGCATTAGCCAACTCAAATTTTATAAAGCTGTCATTTAACCATTAATTGATTTCTTACTTACTGAGCATAACCTGCCTCATACAGAAACTGTGGTACTTGAGTAGTTTTACCAGAACCTGTTTCACCACATATAATAGACACAGGATTATCATTGATTGTTTCCATGACAACCTGCTCTTCCGAGAATATTGGTAACTTTTCTCTACTTGCCTACAAAAATAATTAAGAATCAAAAAGTATCTTAAACAATCATTTCTTTTTGCATTTTAAAGTCTTAGTCTGCTTCTATTAGGTCTCAGAAATATCAATTTAAAAAAAAAAAATTGTGCTAAAGTGCTGACTAAGCAGGAAATGAGAATTATCAATGGCTAAGCAAAGAGAAAAGGACTCAAGTGAGTGAAGTGACTATGAATATCTTCTGTTCCCTGCTATATAAAAGAACATTACCTCAACTTCAGCTGTTCTTAAAACAGGAACATTAGTCACTTCTCTATTAACAACAACCTTCGTAGGCACAGTTAATTGGTCTTCTTCATTTGGTTTAGAACATTCCTTATCTCTTTTATTAGTATTGATGGTAGATTTTTCAAGTGATTCTGTTGATTCTTCTTCATCACCATTTTCTTCTGCAACATCGCCATTTTCTTCATCTTGATCAACCTCAATTTCCTTTTCATCTTCCTTCTCTTCCTCTTCATCAGTAGAAATATCAGAAGTATCAATGGAACCATCAGACTCTGGTTCCAATTCAGGTTTCTTTCCTTTCTTTTTATTTACACCTTTCACAGTCTTTAGTTTCACTTCTCCATCATTTGTTACTTCTGCTTGAACGTTACTGAAGAATGTTAAAAAGCCATTGAATATTCTTAACTTTGTAAGAGATGTGACACTTCTATGATTCAAAACAGATCATTAAAAGGAAACTTGATAGGTCCAAGTCTTTGGAGAAGAACCATTACAATTGAACAAAACCACAGTCAATTTAGAAATAAAATTAATCTGCAATAAAAGTTCCTGTTTCAACACAAAATCTATAGTTCAGATTTGTCGTAAGTATGATATTTCTCAATGTGACACTCCACACTTTCAAAAAATTCTTTTATTTTTGAGGACATGGTTCTTGAATTGTATCTCATGGAAGATGAAAGTCTATAATTCTTTTTTAAAAATTTGCAAGAATGAATCATCAACTTACGATTTAAATCTTTGACTGTAAACTTCTGATATACTGGTTAATAACTGTAGTTCATTTTGTGATGCCTGAACTTTACTAAGTGATTCTAATATAGAGGCTCTCTATAGAAAAAAAAAATATTTATAATATGATTTCATATTTTGATAGTTCTTGTACTAACTATACCCAAAACAAACAAGATTTATCTTTCATTTATCATAGGACTGAAAAAAGCCTATATTTAGAGGATTGGTCAGCGGCAGGCTTTTCTCATGTTTAGGGTGCAGATCTCTTTTTGTGAATAGTATTTTGATAAATGCACTCCTTCATTATAACAATCACAAGGCCTGTATAACATATGATATCAAAACAAGAATATTTACATTTGTTTTCTTCTCTTTCTTTTCTATGACTTTCTCTAACTGCTTCCGTTCTTTCCTAGTCAGTTTCTTAGTCTTCTTTGGTTTTTCTTCCAACTTTGTTGTTTTTCGTTTTTTAGATGGTAAAACTAATAAATTACTATCATCCAAATCTTCTTCAGCTGTATCATTTTTTAGAGCTGATACATCAAGCTTTATCTAAAAATATAACGCAATAAGATGATATTTTTTTTAATTCTTTTTGAATTTATTTCATTCATAATATATGTATGATCTTGATCCTATTATAGCTAGGTGACTAGATGAGACAGACATGTAGTCAAATGCAAAAGGGGTGTAATTACAGAATCATAACATAACTGGTGTAATTTCATTCAGTAGGCCCTACACAACTACATTGGTTTGACTTGAGGTCCAAGCACAAAATCTAGGAATTCAGGATCAATAGAAACCAGAAAGTACTTAGGGTGGAATAAGGAGTATAACTAAATAAGCACAGACAGAGTGTCAGACTCTTGTCCAAGAGTTTAAGGTTCAACTTCCAATAGTTCCAAATTCAATTCCAAGTGTGACTGTGAAGATTGAATACAAAATATTTATTTCAAATTATCATTATGAGCACCTTTTTCTCATCTGTCCTGTCAACTTCAACAGGAATTTGTTGCCTGCCTTTCCAATTGTACCCACGCTTTAATCTTCCCATTGTTTATGTCTAAATATGTGATCAGAAGCATCAAATTCTTAAATATTGTTTTGATTTCTCTGTGCTGTAAAAACGTAAACAAACTACACGTGCGGACCTAGCAACATCTACCGGACATTAAGGTTCCAATGAAATAGGTCGTCCTAAACTAAGATCTTATTGAAATATACAGAGGTTATCAGTTCCTGAAACTTTACGTATAGTTAGAATCATTCAAATGTAATGTAATGAAACCCAAACTATATTTCTAAAAGCTTAAAAGATAAAATCAATAACAATATATTCTTGCGCCAAATTCGTCTGTATTCAAGATGGCGACTGCCGATGAAGATGAATTTGGAGATGAAGAACAATTTTCAGAATTGTTATCATTTTCACCCGAGGTTCAAGATGCCATCGATCAGGTATAAAGACTGAAATGTCTATGATTGACTCTATGCATATATGGTTGTATGAATGTGTGCTATTTAATTGCTGAGAAGGATTTTGCCTAAATATAAATTTGGTGTCTGTGATTTACAAACCAAAACTAAACTAACAAATTCTTCCTTGCTGACAATAACATTAAGATGGTTCCTTTTCTTGTAAACTAACTAGAAAATGGAATAAATTAAAATTAATGAAACCTAAAAGTAAAACTCATAGCTCAAGCAAGGTCTACCTGAGTCAGAATACTTCAGTCATTACGTGTTTATTCATTTTTGTCAAATTTCAGGTCTTACCAACCAGTGATCCATTAGATAGATCAGATTTCAATCCAGTTGATTATATTAATACATTATTTCCTACTGAACAATCATTGGCTAATATTGACGATGTGGTTGGGAAAATAAGACATAAAATCAGGTAAGATTTCTGGTCATCAAATGAAGATATCAAAAACCATTTATGATACAGAACTGTCTCAATTAGCATAATGTGATATATTACTAGTCAATACTAGTATCCCATTTGCAGTAAAGGTATTCTTTTTTCTACCATCTTTTATGTTTTAGAACTAATATCATCAACTTATTATGTTTTCAGGCGTTTAGATGATGAAGTACGGCATGTTGTTAGAGGTCAGACTAATGTGGGAGAAGAAGGAAGACAAGCCCTAGAAGAGGCTCAGAAAGCTATTCAAGATTTATTCTCTAAAATTAAAGATATAAAAGACAAAGCTGAGAAATCAGAGGCTATGGTAATAATAAATAGTTTTAAATGTTACAAACAGAATGTAGAAACAGTTATTATCATTGCCCCAAAATTCATACAGTAATGTCCACTGCTACTGGTGATAAAAAGCTCTAAGTTTAATCATTAGGGTTGAGCTAGTGCCATCTCCAAACATATCAAAGATTCATAATAAAATTTATGTGTATTTTTCAGGTCAAAGAAATAACAAGAGATATCAAACAATTAGATCATGCTAAAAGACATCTCACATCCTCTATTACAACCTTGAATCATCTACATATGTTAGTAGGCGGGGTAGACTCACTGTCTAATCTAACTAGGCGTAGACAGTATGGGGAAGTAGCTAATTTATTACAAGGTGTATTAAATGTGTTGGATCATTTTGAGAAATATATGTCTATACCACAGATCAAACAATTGGCTGACAGGTAAGATGGTTTTCATTTTATTTCATTTGTTATCAGGAGTGCTCACACAGCATCATTTGATTTGCACTCAAATATGTGATTTTAATTGACACATTGCATTAAAAATTGGCAATTCACAATTTTCTTATGTGCAATACAGAGTTGCTTTTATTTACAACTTATATATTGGATATTTGTTGCCATACCAGTTACCTCTCTAAGGTTGATAAAGCTCTGAAACAATACATTATTAAATCAAATCATCTCTTGTTGAACAAAATCTTGGAACAATCTGACAATGATTAGAATTCAATTATTCTCTTTGCTACAGGGTAAAAGAAATCCAAGGAGAATTAGGAAATCAAATTATCGCTGATTTTGAGGAAGCTTTTCAAGGTGCTGGTGCTAAATATGGACCTGGAAATCAACAACAGTTACGTGAAGCATGTTATGTGGTAGATGTTTTAGATCCTAAAGTTAAACGTGATTTATTATCATGGTTTGTTAAACTCCAGCTATCAGAATATCTTGTCTTATTCTCAGAAGATCAGGAAGTAGCTTGGTAAGTTGAATGTTGTAATTGTTAATGGAGGTAGTTCTACAAACAATTTTGAGTAAGATTGTCTTCTGTGGATCAAAAAAAATTCTCTCACTAAAATTTCCAATTTAAGGCCAAGTATTTTCATCAAAACACATAGATTGTGGAAAAATAACATTATATATTATTATAAAATTACATTTTTCTTTATTACAACATAAGGTAATTCAAAAAACGATTGCTGGATTTCTCTTTATTCAGTTAGTTGCAACTTAATAGTGATATTTTAGTACTTTATCAATGAGAAACAAATTTGATCTGATATTTTAGGTTAGATAAGATAGATAGACGATATGCTTGGATTAAAAGAACACTGGTAGATTTTGAAGAGAAGTTTGGTCATCTGTTCCCAGCAGAGTGGGAAGTCAGTGAGAGAATCTGTATAGAGTTCTGTCAGATTACTAGGAAAGCTTTACCACAGATAATGTCTAAACGAGCAGCTGAAATAGATGTTAAATTATTACTGTTTGCTATACAAAGAACCACTAATTTTGAAACATTAATTGCTAAACGGTTCACTGGGGTCACAATGCAGGATACTCAGGTAAATGCTGAAATTATTTTTTTATCCCTATAATTTGCTTGTTAGTCTTTGTAAATAGTTGTTTATATTATTTGCATGTAAACCTTATTTAGTTTAAATTATAGAAATGTAATAAATTTTCAAAAATCTTCCTCCATTCTTTGAAATCCTGGAAATCAATTTGTATGGAAATTATTTAACCATGACAAATCCTTTGAAAAGCAAACAACATTTTATTGTTGTACCTAACCATTCTGAACCTAACATGGCTGTATCTGCTTTGTAGTTAAAACCTGCTCATACCCCAGCTACTGTCCCTACCCCACCTGTTTCAACTAATCCATTTGAAGAAAATGAAGCTAGAGAAGTAAATACTAATCCTTTTGAACAAGATACACCAGCTAGTGAACATAAACCAGTAGTAGAGGAATCTAAGGTTATTTATCTTCTTTTATACTGTCAGCTTGACTAATTACTTATGACACGAGATTTGCATAGTTTCGGTTTTCTCCTTATTATTTTTATTCTTGGGAGACATTAGTTGGCTTTTAAGGTCTTAAGCTCCCATCTCCTATCCAGATACATGTACTCTACTATTTGAATGGATTTTTTTCAGCTAAAGAAAGAAGGTGCTACACCATTCAGTGGAATAATTTCTTCTTGTTTTGAAGCCTATTTGAATATTTATATAGAGTCTCAAGATAGGTTAGTTTCATGTATGAAATTTGAAAATGGCCCAGGTTACGAATGCAATGGACATTATAATTTTTCTTGGCTTCCTTGGGATTGAACAGCATCTATTTGCAGGATGCCAAACCAAATCCCCACTTGTTAGTCAATCCGATTGCTCTATTCTTTTTGTAAAAGATTGAAAATGTTAATAGCTTGATATAATAGGGCTAGAAAAAAAAAACACCCTAATCTTATAATTGAGGTCTTCCAACTTACAGGTATAGTTTCATGTTAATGGAAAGTCAAATGGATAACTTGCACACTATACCATATTCAGCCTTGATTTTGCATTTTCTTTATTTTTTCAGGAATTTAGCAGAATTAATCAACCGATTCCTAGAAGATTTACGCCAACATGGAACACCTAGAATGGAGACAGAGGAAGGGAGTAATGTTCTACCTAGTTGTGCCGACCTGTTTGTATTCTATAAGAAATGTATGGTACAATGTTCACAGTTGAGCACTGGACAGCCCATGATAGACCTTACTAGAACATTCCAGAAATATCTTAAAGAATATGCTACAAGAGTTCTTTTGAATAGTTTACCAAAGTAAGTGTGACTTCAGAGACAAAAACATTTTTTAAATTATTCTCCTTGTTTTTTCCTGTATTAATGTGCCATATGATTTTTATTACATTAACATATTCATTTTTATAAACAAAAAAACACCCCACATTTTGAGAATGAGCTCTTCTACTAGTATTGATAAAAAGTATGCATGAGTGGAAGAGTTCAATAGAAAGTTAAGGGGTGTCAAATGGGTGACTGGCACACAATATCAAGCCTTGCATATATATAGTATATTTTGTATATAGCCTTTCATTGTGTTCATCACACCACAAAGTAAAGAAGACTGTTGTGCCCTGACTTTGTACATATTTATCTGTCTTTGACTATAAAAAATCTTTCATTCCAGGTTGAGTAATCAAAACACAAATATCAGTTCTGCTACTGGTTTGATACAGAGTATACTGAAAGAAGGAGAGATAACAAAACTAACAGAAGAAGAACAGTGTCGTATCTGTAGTATATTGTGTACTGCTGAATACTGTATGGAAACTACTCAACAATTAGAAGAAAAATTAAAAGAGAAAGTTGATGAAAGTTTAGTTAAGAATATTGATTTAGGGAATCAACTTGATATCTTTCATAAGTAAGTTTGAGAATTCTCTATTCCTCTTTTGTCTTGAATGTTGATTGGTGATGATGCTTTTTTACATGTTTGATGAGATTTTCGAATTGAAAATTCTCACTGACATATGCAACAAATATAGGCTCAATATCTTTTCTGTATTTTTATGCTGGCTAAGAAAGATTATTGTATATTGTGAATGTCCCAACTCAAGATAGCTTCCTGCAATTATTCTTAACACTATCAATTTTTTTATGTATTTATTTATGTTTTATTTTAGTGTAATATCTAACTGTATACATCTATTGGTACAAGATCTAGAAACAGCATGTGAACCAGCTCTCTCAGCTATGACTAAAGTAGGTGTCAGTTTCTCATTCTATACACTTACAATACGAAACAAACCAAAAAGATGTTATTTTACACATGATTTCAAACGATTTTTTTTGAGAAAAAGTAATTGTATGATGAAAAGATGTAATAGAAAAAGTAGATTGACACCTCTCAGTATCCAAAAAACACAGACATGTGACTGAAAATTGGAATAGTTCAGAATGTGTTCCTAAAAGAAACCTGTTTACAATCCTAATATGGGAACCCACCAACCATGTATAAAAGATTTATAATAAAACTCATTCTTTATTCTATGTTCCTAGATGCCATGGTCTACTATAGAAGCTGTTGGTGATCAGAGTGGTTATATTACAGCTATAACATCACACCTAAAACAGAATATACCAATAATACGTGATAACCTAGCAGCTTCACGCAAATATTTCACTCAATTCTCTCTCAAATTTGCCAAGTAAGTATAAAACATCTGAAAGGTTTTGCATTTTGTCAAAATTTGCAAGTGTAGAAGGTGTCTTGAATTTCTATTAAACTATTGATATGCATATTTAAAGTGTAAAACATTAATTTTGCATGAAAGATTATATACATTTCCCAAATAGTTTTGACAAGTTGGATGTGAAAGATAACATTTCTGAATACTTTAACATCTGATATGATTATGATTTCAGTTCCTTTATACCGAAGTTTATTAACACCCTATATAGATGTAGAACTAATAGTACTGTAGCAGCAGAACAGGTTAGCATTTAACCTTTTACATTAAATAAAAAACAAATTGTTTAAAATACACTTGTATTTGATTTTTGTACTAAATGATTTACTATAAACATCCTATTTATTGTAGTTATTATTAGATACCCATAGTTTAAAAACAGTATTACTAGATTTACCAGCTCTAGGATCTCAAGTCAGTCGTAAAGCTCCTGCAAGGTTAGTTACTTTTCTTTATATTTCATTCATCCATACACATATGAAAAGCAAAAATTGAAGAACTAATTTGAAATATTAATTGAAAGATCTCTTTTTGACTTGATTTAAACAGTAGTTCTGTAATTGATGCATTTTGTTCTTTTTAGTTACACTAAAATTGTAGTAAAAGGCATGACAAAAGCTGAAATGGTTTTGAAGGTAATTTGATTAAATGTTTCAAGAATATGTGCAAGTTATCTAATAGCTGTGACAGATTTGCTTCTATATCTATGTATAAAATCAATACATATTTGTTATTGAGTCTGATGTTTATGTCTCTAGATATTTTCTGTTATTTCCAGGTTGTAATGTCACCACATGAACCACCACAAGGTTATGTTGATAATTATATTAGACTGCTCAATGATTCTGATGTTAATGAATTCCAGAAAGTTCTTGAAATGAAGGTTAGTAGGATGTTCTCTTAAAAATTGTCATATCAAATCAGATACATTGCATTTTGATACAGTAATTAATGTATTTGTGCATCAACATCATGATGAATCAGATGTGTTGTGTTTTATTTCTTTGTCAGGTACTAGTCTTTTTTTAAGGGTAAAAATTACACTATGTCATGCATTATGGCAAAATGGGATGATTAAATCAAAGTTAAAACATCAGCATAATATAGTAATACTGAATTTGCTAAGGGTGTCTAGCCTATGATATGTATGGTCATAAAGAATTTTTGAATCTAGAGAAATTTGAGTGAGTGTGGTGAAGTAGGCAGAAAGCAATGATACTTTCCATGGACACCTGTCTTTTGTCATTTTCATCTTCAGTGTCTCACTTTAATGTATTCACTACCATGTATGTTTTTTGTAGGGATTACGTCGTAATGATCAGAGTATATTGATGGAGATGTATAGAAATAGAATACCAATGTCAGCTCTAACAGGGGAGACAACTAGTTCATTAAATAATGTCAATTCACCTGAACCAGAATCTAGTCGTATTAGAAAACTAGAAAAACTCATTAAGAAAAGATTATAGAGGATTTTAATACATGGCTATTTATATAAAAATATATTCGGGAAAACCTGTGACAGGGCATATCAAGGCAAAGTCAATTTCTCCATCATTCCTTATCTATCAATGAATTTTTTATTTTTCAAAAGGCCTAATAGAAAATAGTTGATTAGAATTTAGCTAGCTGAACAGTGTAAATTCATATAGTTAATGAATAATACATGTAGTAGGATAATGTCTTTTAAATTAACATAATTTTTATTATTTTTTTTATGGAAAATGCAGCCAACTAAATTTCTTTTTGTGTTATTTTCAAGTTTTCTATGCAGAAGAATCAGGTTGTTAATAGTGTAGATGTAAATTGCATTGGACTATTTGAGGTGTGAAATGAACTGTACTATATATATATATATCAATATTTTACCATGTGTATAAATTGTATACCTATCTGATGTTATTAATGTATAGTTTATTAAATGTTATCTGTATGTAAATATTGTATTTTGGGCTATAATTTATATATAAATAATAAAATAAATGAAAAGTGATTTTAAGATTATTTCAGTTTTTTTGTCCTACTTTTGATTTAATCTACACCTGGTTGGTTTCTGTCAAAATCCCTGTCATGGAATACACAATCCTCATCAGGGCAGTTCTGAAAATGAGGGCTCAATGAGTCACATTGAAATGGCAAAATTAATTTTTACCTTTAAGGACTACACAAAATTGATAATTAAAAAATTCTGCTCTTACCTAATTTGAACTTCTTATAGTGTTTAGCCTTCTTCAAAGTACCCTTTTTTCTTTCATGGCAACTAGAAGTGAACCCTGGGACATTATGCTGCCTGAATGAAACCAGAGAGGTTTACACTTCTGTTGTCAACTCCTGAATTCTATTCAAACCCAGGCTAGATCCTTTCTTCACAATAGTTAGTTTTAAAACAAAAGACTGACAATAGAGTGAACACTTTTCATCCCTTGATCAAGGATTAAAGTTTTAATTGTTATCAACTAATATTGAACTGACTCAACTAGAATAATGACAACCAAGTAACAAAATTGTTTATGAATCTTGCACATACAATTTATAAAATCTTCTAGTGGGACAGAGACATTAAATAGAATTAGTCTAGTAAACACATTCTTTACTAACAGCTTTTTCTCTATCATTTTAAGTATGGTACTTAGAATGGCCTGATACTAGCTAACCTTAATTGCCCCATTTGAAGCCAACAAATTTGTGCTGAGAAGATGCACAACGAAGTGCTCTTTCATTTCATATGCGGAAATATCTTTGAACAAGGAAAACCCTTCCTTGGCTGACTCTGGTTTGCAGTTTTGAAAAAAAAGTTAACCCTAGCTTTTCGAGAGACTATTTTTCAGCTTTCTCATCTGGGAAACATGTTTCATTCAAGAACTCTGAATCTATACTTTCTGTGCCAAACCTCACTGAATCTTGACATAAATTTACATTATTACAAATAACAATAAGCTTTTAACATCAATTTATTACTCAGTGATATACATTTATATATAGATAACAAAAAAACATTCATACAAGTCTTAAAGACAATCACCTCTTCCCCATATATACTCCTTAACATTGATACATAATAGATGAAAAGATACACAAATGATACACATTTACAAAATAGTCAAATATACATTAACACATATTAATATTATAGTTTACATCGTCAAATATGATATACCGTGAGATACCATGAAAACATTTAAACTTCTGTGTACTAAATTTCATAGATCTGTCATCAGTATGTACATCAATAGATTTTATTTTCTTCCTATAAAGTACTTTTTGTGGACAAAATTTATTCACAGAAAAAAAATCACAGAAATCAGCCCCCACAAATAATATCTTTATCATTGAATGTCCCCAACAAACAGACAATATTATTCTGACAGAAAACATATCTCTCAGAGGCATTTCAATTCAGAATGTTTTAATAAGAAAAACATTTAAAACAATTACCAAACAAGTTTAAACAACATTAAGTAGCAATAGGCCTTAAACATGACATGACTTCAAAAAATAAATATTCATCTAGTTCGTTGGTTCTTACAGTTTGATGCTTCTCTAAAACCTCTCCTCACTATTTTATTCAAAAAAAATGATTAATGAAATATTTGATCATCTCTATCTTAATCTTAGACATAAAGAAGGCTATTGACTTTTAAATTCCCCCAAAATTATGGAGTAACTGATGAATATCTAATCCTTTCACTCATATATCTTAAGATCTTGAGATTGAGCTCTACTGTTCTTCCACTCGCACAATTTAATCAAAGACCATTAGCATTCAATTTGTTTATTGTATTAAATAAGCAAAGATATTTGTGTACATTCAGTGACGAAAAAAAAACATGGATAGTCTATTTTGTTTTGAGGTGAAATTAATAGTAATTGAAACTTTTTAAGACACATATCAAAATTAATTACTACTTACTCCTGATAAAACACATTGATGTGTCTGAGGTCACACAGATGTGCACTAATATCTTAGCTGGACTATTTTTGAAATGAAATTATGAAGTCAACTGATCATGAACATTCAATGTATATTTTATACTCTTTGAGTTCTATAACAAGATCAGATCATAAACTCATATCATCATCTAAATCAAATATACTATCTACTTCCATGTCATTACCATTAGATGTTATATCTTGACCTGTCAATAATGGTTGGCTGAAATAAAGAGTTACCAAAAATGTCATGTTATTGGACCAATTGGTAATGAATAGCAAGGAAAAAGAATTTGATAACTGTACATGCAATTAAAATTTAAGGCATGAAAAGGTCCTCAAGTATTAAACAATGCATAAAATAACAATGAATTCTGCATCAAGCAGTGTAAAAATAATTTCTTAATATCAAACTATCAAAATAAAGCCTCAATCAATCTTAATATTTTTAAAAATTTTTCTATTCACTTTGGTGTGACATTCTGTGAAAAACTTAACATCATGAATATGAACAAAAGGACATAATTGATAGACTAGTGGATTGATCCTGAAATCAACTTCTCTGTATCTTTAAGATGTACAGTTGAATGTAGAAATACTTACTTAATTGATGATTCATCTTGCATACTAGTCATATCTAGATCACTATCAGTTTCTAATGATTTATTTCCCTTATCTGTTTCTTCTTTTTTAACTTTATTAATAATTTCACTGACAACTCCTTCAGGTGGTTTCCATAATACAACTTCTAATGAGGGTTTATGTCTAGAAATATACAAATTATACTGTAGATACATGACTCTTTTAGACCCAGGAAGGATAATGCAATACATTATGTTCCTGTTGAATACATATTAAATACACTTGCTTATTAATTTAAGTGTTTGACGGCGTATCCCAGTGTTGAATTAGTCAAATCTCTTGACAGGCATAGAATGCTACTTAATGTCCATTCTATATGAGCTGACTTGCAGACCATTTTATGAAAATATAGCCAGGTTCCCTTTTCCACGTCCTCACATAATATTGGCACTCAAGAGTACTTGATTTATTCATTAGAAACATCAATTAATCAAATACTATGCATGATTTGACCAAGAAAAATAAGCAAAGGCCACTTAAAAGTTTTAACCCTGTTTAAAAGAACTGACAATATACCATGTTGGTTTCATCAAACAAAAACATCGCAACAGCTCAAATGGTCTTACAAAAATACCTAAATATGTAATCAACCATTTGAAGAATCTAACATCATATATATGTAAAGTAATAAATTTGAAAGGAAAAACATTGACAACTTACAATCTATTGAGAACTTTTGCAGGTAAAATAGAATCTCGTTTCAATATAGAATCTTTAAAATCTTCATTAATTCTAATCGTTGATGAATTCAACTCAGGACTAGATTCTTCTATTTCTTCATCTTTTAATCTATAAATAAATAATATCATTGACATATAGATAAACTATAGAAATCTTACCTCAGATCTTTAGAATGTATATTGTTAATATGTAGATCATTAAACCTAACCTTGCCATTATTGTGAATAATTATGAATAACAGTACTTTATATCTATTATGTTTTCATTGAATCCTGGACTAACAGAACCAAGACGGTTCAACTTTTAATATGCCAAAAAACATGACTCACTGCCATCCTTTTTTTGACAATCTGTGCCCTATCCAATAAACCAAGTACGGTACAGCACTTTTAAGAAACTAGAAATGATGATAATTTGATTTACCTCTCTTCTAAATCTAAGAATTTATCCCAGCCATCACCTACAGTATTTTGTTGATTATCAACACTACCAATACATAAATTCTGCAACCTGGCAGCCATCTTATCTGCTGATATAAACTGTTTTCTGGGTGGACACCTGCAATATCACAATAATAAATTAAAATTGTATTTACAATGGGGTAAAATCAGCTCTGATCCAAATTAATCTTAGTTCAACTACACTTTAAATCATTACCATATAAGGCCAGGGGCTACATGGAGTTCCAAAAGAGTTTAAACTAGTCACTTGTTTCTTTCTTGTCCCTAAATGATGCCACCATTGGTGTTAAGATAGTAGCAATACAATGCCTGGGTGCACTTAGTTTAAATCTCTTTCCAACCCCATAAGTTAATTACAACATATATTAATTTCTATTCTTTATGTCCAATAAACACTTGAATAGGAATGAAAAACTGAAGAATATAAAAATATAAAAAAAGATTGCTAACTTACCCATCATTTGTTGAACTAAGATGATGACGTTTTGTTCGTAGGTGGATGGGTTTAGTGATGGGCTCACCAGGTGATGACCTGAAATAATCAAAAAATAGAAATTAATGACAACCTATCTCAAATATTAATCATAATGACTTCAGCCTCAGACATCAAGCTGTATTATCTAACACAATAAGATATTTTCAAAACAACTAATAAAATTAGAAGTGATTCACATGATAATAACACAAACCAGTATATATAGAAAAGTACACTGTGAATACACCAAGGTTGAAAGAATAAAAAAAGCTAGATTTTGTACCTGGGAACTGGCTGCGATACAGATGTAGTATGTGGAGAAGTAAACTGGATAACTGTCGAAGGTTCTGACCAAGGCATCTGTTTTGGAACAGTATGTTGCCATGACACTCCTAAACCTGGTGCAATCATCCTATTAACATTAATACCACGAGCTGTATTATATTGTTGTTGTGATGACGTTATTATAGGAGACTGAGTTGGTGAACCAAACGTAAATGGACTGTTACTCTGTAAATACAGATTATTATTCAGACCCATATTGGATCCTGGAGGTACCAGCCCAGATTGAGAAGGGAAATAACTGGAATTAAATCTGCTGTTTCCAGGAAACATCATGACATCTTATAGATTTTTTGTTTGACTTAAAATTCTGCTATGCCTATCTGAAAAATATAACAGAACAGAAGTTTGATGATCAATCATTCCATTTTACTTTATACAATTAAAGTATGTACAGATATATTTAAGAAGTCTGATGTTATAAGAGACTAGTGTAGTTGTGTAGATCATATAACATTTTATCTAACTCTATTTTACACCCAGAAGGCCAATCACTGTTATATCACTTCAGCATCTTTTTAATAGGACTTGACTATATTCTTAGTCATTGGAAATCAGCTTGATAACAAAATGACCAGCATTAGCCTATGTTCTGTCGTCAGGCTGTGGATCTTTTTTTCTCTTCTTCACTTTTGGGCTTGAATTTCAAAGCAAAATTATCAGCAGGTGATCTGTTTGAACCTTTCTAATACAAGATAAGGATTTTTTATACTCACTGAGATAGGACTGTGTTGATAACTTCTTCAATCTTTTATACAGAAATGGTTTAAAACTGTAACAGCTGATCGAGAAAATTCCTGACAATTCTACTCTATTTTACTTGGTCGTAAACAAGTCTAATGTCGTAAACAAGAAAGCTGATTGGTGGTGGTGACTATTTGACCCTCCGCAAACCTCGATGCTACCAACAAGAATAGTATTTTTATCTTTCATTATGAATCTTGCAAATTAGACTTCGATATTGGCATCAAATAGTCACATTGCACTTTCTTGTTTCTGTGACTTGGCACTCTCTGATTCAGAACATGTAGGCTTGCGGCTTGGTCTGATTTTTAGTTACACCATAAAGGGAAGTAACCCTTTTTCGGGATACTCGCCTCAAGCAAACAACAATGGCTGATATTTTGGAAGATTTTAAAAAAGACGGAATTTATAAGAAAATTCTGTACCCTGGAGAAGGAGAGGTCAAACTATATGAAGATGGGTGTAAGGTATAAATCTTGCCTTTGTTTTGGAGAAAAAAAATATTAAAAGGCATCTTCTTTGGTCAATTTAGGAAATAATAATGATTGCCTTTTTTTATTTGATAACATGGATGATAATAATAATGAAAACAATAATAACGATGATGAAAATGATACAAAAGGGTAAAGGCATTATGATCAGATCCTCTGTTTCCATCAATAAGTCAGTCTACCATTTTGCCATTTTTGGCTTTGGAAAGTAATAGAAATATTGCCATAGCAGTGCATTCCAGATAATGATAATGTATGCAGGCTAGTAACATCTCATCTACCTTCCCTGCTAAACTTTCAGTCTATTAATACTATAGTGAGGTGATATTTAAGATAGGCTAAGCACCCAACTTACAAGCATACACTCACAGGAGGCTTAATAAATTTATAATTATGATTTAAAGTTTTGTTTACTCTTTAATGTTTTCATTTGATACGCTTCAGCTGTATTTTCATTATAAAACTACCAAAGCCGATGAAGAAAAGACTGTTATTGATGACAGTAGAAAAGATGGAAAACCAATGGAGTTAATTCTTGGCAAAAAGTTTAAGTTAGAGATTTGGGAAAGATGTTTAAGGACTATGTTACAAAAAGAAGTGGCTGAGTTTTTGTGTGAAAGAAAGGTAGATTTCATTGTAAAATTCCAAACACTTATACAGTGGTGTAACCTATTTTCGTGGATATAAGGATTCAACACCGAATTTCGTCAAAGTTAAAAAAACGAAAAAAAAAATTTATGTCTTAGATGTTTCCTCAGATATTCTACAAAATAATAGAAATTGGTTTATTTCGATTTTATTAATGAATCCTTCACTTTGACCCATATTTCATGAGCAACCAACTCGGGAACGGCTGCAGAATGCGTCACCTATTTTCGTGTACAATGTTTTATCTATAAATAAGTAAAAACACGTTGTATGGATACCGGGTGATATAATTAACTTCTCTTAGTATTTATCTTTAATATCAATTCATTATAACTAGTGACAATTCCTTGAAAGAACCACGATTTAAAAAAAAAAATAGTGACTGACAAAATAAGATACGTAGCATGATTTATTGCTAAAAGTCACTGAAACAACATAAGAATATGGTCCACTTTGTGTTCCATAGAAATTTTCTGCTGACACGGAATCCGCTAGTTGATCACGTGACTTCATTCGTTGGACTACATTCTAGCAGATGACATTTTGAATTCCGATTACCGCTTGGGATTATAAGGAAATTCGGCCCAAATATAATGGTGACGTTTGGTGAAAGTGAATTCCGCCATTTTGTATTTGTCAAAGTATACATTAATACATTTTACCTTGCTTGAAACTACTGGATTCATTCTACTAGCTGATATTGTAGAGAAAACCCATGTTTATCAAAACAAACTAATGCGGAGGACGCACAAGGTCGCTCATGTAAATTATTAATCCTTTCCAGAAATCCACGAATAATAGGTTTCCATGAAATAAGGTTACTCGACTGTACTAATCAATAAGGTTTGTCAGCTAATATGCCTTAAGGATGTAGCTGGGATATGGAATATGGTTAGGAAATATTTTTTTTTTTTGCTGTTGGTTTTAGTAAGGTATGTATATTTACCTTGCCGATGGCCTACATTATCCTACCTTGTTAAAACTTCTGTCATTGTGAACAGCATTATACTTGCACAGAATCAGACTAAAATACATTTGATTTTATTGTTTACAGCATACAGCTACATACCCACTTGTTTCAAAAAGTTTACGTTCAATTCGAGATCCTCATCACAATCACAAACATGAACCAGAGAAGAAACATTGTTGTGGTATGATGTCATTAGCTGATCAAGGCACTGGACATTCTGATTTAGATGAACTGATTAAAGATCCACAACCCTTGATATTTACTCTAGGTAAGTATATTTATTAGCTCAATAAGATGCAAGACCCCATTTCATTTCATTATCTAAAGACCTCCAACTCAGATATGAGTAAAACCAGGTTAAAATTCAAACCAAAGAACAAGGGGAAGTTCATTTAGCTAGACACCGGCCAGATGGTATTAGGTGTCACTAGTAAGCGTATAGGTGCAATGTCCTAATTATTTTATAAAAATTTGTATAATAGAATTAGTGAAGGTGGAGCACGCTGGTGAATATGAAAAAGAAACATGGATTATGACCGAAGAAGAAAGAATAGCTTCATTACCTCGACTAAAAGATGAAGGCAATGAATTATATAAACAGAAAAAATATACAGACGCTGCACAGAAATACTTTACAGCCTTAGGAATACTGGAAAATTTAGTATTAAAGTAAGTATACCATTAAAATTACTTGAGCCCATCTGACATTTTTTGATTCACACTCCTCATAAAGACAGCCAGCTTTGAAAATGGGAGACAACTTTCCTAAATTGAACTTGTGAATTCACTATACAGTATGAAGACCTTCAGCTCATATCTAATTTATTAGGGTGGCACTCTATTGATGAGTTATGGTTCTGTCTGTTTCAATTCTGGCCTCAAACAAACAATCAAATTCTAAATTTTCACTTGTCTTCCTTTCTCCTCCTGTTTTGTGTTATTTTAAAGTTAAAGGACTTATTGTTGAGAATTGTTCACATTAACATTTTTTACATACCTTCTATTTTCTTTTTGACTCTATTCAGTAAATCAAAATATTGAATTTGATTTTGTAGAGAAAAACCCGGAACTCAGGAATGGGAAGATTTAGAAGATCAGAAAATAGTCTATTTATTGAATTATTCTCAATGTAAATTGATAGAGGGTGACTTTTACCCAGTTATACAACATACAACTACAGTATTAGACAGACACCCAGGTTTGTCCTCTTAAATTGTATCTTATACTTCAATTAGGAAATGAAGTTGAGTTTAAGTGAGCAAAAGTCTTACTCACCATGGCCCCAAGTTTAGAGAGAAGCTTATGCAAGGGCCTTTTGTGACCAGGCCTTGGACTAATTTCACTTTAGGGAACTATTGATGTTTTGAAGGGTTTTGAGTTATTTTTCTGTCTACTTAGATTCAGCAAACTATTCTCTTGAGGCTACATCTCTCAAAAATGTTAGCTCCATAAATGAGAAAAAAATGAAACAAAATGATTCATTGGAATTCTCTTATAAACACAGTGTAGGAAAGTACTTATTTACTTCTTTCATTACAGATAATGTAAAAGCGTTATTTAGACGAGCCAAAGCTCATGTTGGTGCATGGAATCCCGAAGATGCCAGAAAAGATTTTCTCAAAGCTAAAGAATTAGACTCCTCTCTTACAAAATCTGTGACTAAAGAACTTGCAGCTTTAGATAAACTTTTAAAGATAAAAGAAGCAGAAGAAAAGTCTAAGTTAAAAGGAATGTTTGAATCCTGAAGAATTTTTAAATTGATTGTCAAGAAAACAGATCTTCTCCAATTCTCAAAGAATCTTTAAGCTAATCTGCCAATTTACGATTGTGTTTGTTATTTTTACATCCCTTTCAAACAGTCTACAGAACCTATATTGTTATACTGCTTGGTATATATATTTATCTACTTGTGAAAGTGATCATGCAATGGTTTTGCAGATGCATTTTTGTATTTCAACAAAGACATTGCTTTTATCTATAGATATTCTTTTTTGGCAATGCAATCTGTTGTTGGCGTATTTCACTTAAAAAGCTCATAGTGTAACATATTCTAATATGAAACAGGTATAATCTAAGATTCATGTGTTATTGTAAAATAAGTTATTTTGTGTCACCTCTGAGTAAATAATTTCTTCAACCAGCAAGATACAGGTACAGAACATTTGGACTCAAGATTCATATTACATGAGCTATTCCCACCACCCTTTTCAGTATTCACTTACAACTTACAAGAGCTCTATGTTGACTATTTGTATTATTATTGTATGAGTATGTGATTTTTTACATGTTGTAAATTTTATATTACTGTTAATAAGTATTGTTTCTTAATGCTCAAACTGAACTTTTTCTGTACAAATCAAAACATAATGACTCACTTTATTTACTACCCCAGTATCCTTTTTATCCAACAGAATTTATGCTTCAACAGCCTACAATTTTAATATTGAACATCATTCAATTTCCACATATTTAAAAGAGAGTAATTAGCGGACATTTCTCAAATATATTTAATATAACAGAATATACAATTAAAATAACAGGATGAAAACATACAATTCTTACAATATCATGACACATTTCTGAACACCTGCAGAGATCCAAATTATTTTTCAAAAATTGATCATTTTGTGGTTTCTTAAAAAATTTGTATCACTTTATGAGATTTTAGTCTATTCAACATTGTGTATGGCTTTTGATTGAAGTGTAATATCTTAAAAGAAATTACCATCAGAAGACTGTTACAAAAGAACAGTGGTAGGGGAAATTTTCACATTAATTAATCCTTGGTATAAAACTAAAGAGAAATTGAGAGTATCGACTGTGATTTTGTGTTGTTATATAAACTTGTTAAAATATATGATTTAAGTTACATAATGATCAATGGTCATAAATAATATAACATGATAAACAATGATCATAAAATAATACATGAACACACATAATCCCTTTCTCCACAAAACAGAAATATCACTAACATGTTTATAGTTCACACTAATACACATGTATATATTGGTATTTACATCAGATTTCTAAAGCATCATTTTCATTTTTATATTTGAACATATTGTAAAGAAAACCACTGAGCAATTCTAGAGATTTTTACCAATATATATATATTTATAATTTAATTATGTAGCTCGTAAAGCAGCCACTAGTTTTTAAAGAGCTAGATAACAAAACAAAAAAGAATTTTGAAGCTAAACACATGAGTAATATTTCACATTATAAAATTTCAATTCACTATCATACTTGTACACCAGAATATCAAAATCTTGTTAAACAGATCAGAATAAATATATTATAATGTCCTCAAGTTAAAACTATCTAGTTTCAAATAATACTTCTTGAAAGTGGATGGTGCCAATCCAAAAAACAAATTCATGCTTTCTGTTATTACAGTGTCTTAAAGTCCCCAATGAATAATAGTGATCTAAAATGTTTTCGGGTCAGTTTATTTCTTCCTCTTGTATATTTTCATAGCAAAAGCTATAAACATTTGTTTAGGTAAATTTCCACTAGATTTTTCTATTAAATTCATTAACTCTTGATAACTTTTTTCTTCATAATCTTGATAAACTTGCGATAAATTTAAATCGCGATATAGTTTTTTCACTTTTTCTATTTTTTCTTCATTATCTCGAGCATAATTTTCCTATAAGAAAGAAAAAAATATACATATATAAACAATAGGACAAGGCAAATGATGAAAGTAGAGTTTGAAAGGAAAAAACAACATTTCATTACAAGCTTTGGGTGTATGAGGATCTTTTCTACAAGCTGGTCATTGGCCAAACCTCTTAGCATTGAACTGGTCACAGATACATTGGTAAATGAGCTTGAATAGCCATTATTATCTCCTTTCACACTGTGTATGGGATGCCATTGTGCCTGATTTGTTTAAACTGTGAAGTCCCTTAACTTCTTACAAGTTAAAACCAGATCAATTTTCAAACACTTACACTAACAACTTTGCTTCGGGATAAATAACCATTTCAATTCAAGCTTAAAGAATGTCAAATATTATCTTAAAGAAAAATAATTCCTAATTTACCTCCAATATCTGCCTTTGTTCTGGAGTAACTCTATTTAAAGCTTGTATGACTAACCAACCACATTTATTATCTTGTATATCAGTACCTATTTTACCTATAACTTCTGGTGCACCATAACAATCCAGGTAGTCATCCTGAAAAACAAAAAAGATAGGAAATTAATTTAACATTATAATCTAAATTGGAAAGTGTGTAGGTGAAGTGAACCAAGTCTTTAATCTGTAAATTCTTTTTTCACATTACAAATATCCAGAATACATGTACTATACTTCTTTAAATCTTGATTTTATCTGAATTCAGTTTTATAGATTCAGGCCCCTGTATATCACGTCTGACAAGCTGCCTAGAGCCAGATTTGTTGTTCCATATCAGAAGCAGAAATGAAGGACACTAAGGTCCATTTCATTTTTGATTTTGCAAAAGTTATCCTCTTCAGAAATACAAGCAGTATGTTATATCAGTAAATTCAGAAGTACAATCAACACAATATGTTTCTAATATTAAAATTTGATTTTACCTGTACTTGAAAGAAGTGTCCCATCTGTAGTAAAATACGCTTAGCATTAGTATGTGCTTCACTATCATCTATACCAGCCTACAATAAATACATCAGTTGAATAAAACTAATAATTCAATGTCAATAGGTGTATAATGCTCAGCAATTTCTAATGAAGAACCATGAAAATGATTCTCAAAATGCTGTTGTAAAAACTATCACTGAATGGCAACACTCATAAACCAAAAATCAAACTCACCATATACATTGCTATGGCAACAGGTAAATAAAAAGAATAAAAAGCTGTTTTCCACTTGACAATAGCAGCATGTCTATCTAGAGTATAATTAGTAAAATCAACACCATCACTGGGAGTAGAGGTTATTAAATCTAAACATTGGCCTATCACAGTCTGTAAAGTTGTCTACAATAATTCATTAAAGATAGATTGTCAGGCAAGGTAACATATGCCCACTGACAGCTTTGTTTGAATAAGAACATTTGGCAGAATGGTAACCATCACGTATATTATATCTTGAATCATACACTTCTTACAAACTCTTTTAGTTAGTAATTGGGATATTCCTTAAAGAGCTTGTATAGGATTTTCTTAACTTTTTATGTAAGCTTATATTGGGAACACTGGTAGAGGTACCTTACTTTAAGGTAACATATTGCTACACTCTAGATTATTATCTTACAGATGACACCCATCTAAATTCAATGCTTTGATAAAGTTAAAGTGACTGATAATAGCAGAATCACTTACTTCATGGAAGAGTTCCATTAAATGAACATAATAAGGTTGATCACGGCAGTATTTTTTTAGTAAAACATAAATAGCTGATTCTAGGTAGAAGGAATCATTGATAGCAATAGTTCCAACTTTATTCTGTAATATAAGATCACATAGCATGATATTCTGAGTAACAACATGATTCAAGTTCTGTTAAAAAATTTCTATTTCACTCTAATATTGATGTACCGGTATTTAGAACTATTTTAACAGTGAAAATACTTTATTATTGAATTATATATTGTATTATAAATTTTGTATAACAGAACACAGTCTTTTTTTTCTTGTCATATATACAATGAAATTTATATAGAGCGTAATGACTTTGAGATACGAATACAGAGATATGGTCTGTTTTTAAATACAACAACTTTAAATCACTAAAACTACTTACAAGTTTATACCAACATGGTTGACCTCTTCTAGTGATTGATGAATCCATGATGTCATCAGCTACCAGGAAAAATGCTTGCAGCTGAAAGATAACATAGACAATCAAGTACCGGGTATACAAAATTGCTTTTGTCATGAATTCAAAATCTTAACTGTTTATATAACACCAATTGGAATAGCTCAGTCGGTACCAAGTTGGATTATCATGTGCTAGGCAAATTAGTGCTGTGGGTTTGAATCATCCTCAAGGTAAAAACAATTCTGATGCCTGTGCGAATTGTTCCGACACCACCTCCTTCATTGTCAAGAAACATTGTCCAGGACTAACATCAAGGGTAAATTAATGTATTAGTACTATGTTACTTACTAATTCCACACACCATCCCAGAACTCTGGCTCGGGTTAAATTTTCTTCTGTAGGATCTTGTACCAATTGACAGTATGATGTTACTACTGATATTCCACGATTCTTTTTACCAAATGGAACATTATATTCTAATACCTAAAATAATTCATTATCAGTAACGATAAAAAAAAAAGTAAACTTATTATACTTATTACCTAAGTGATCAACATGTCCCAACATAATAATTGTCCGGTCAATTCTGCTTTTGACCATTTTAGATTCTGTACCTATCTGCCAAAATTCAATGACAAAACTACATTCTCCATTGTATGCAGCTGATGTAAATTTGAACATATAGCAATTTCTTTTTGTACTCAAGGTTTTAGTAAACAGATCACCAAGAATAGTGTTAGCTGCCTAGGAATCCTTAGAAGTCACATATAATAGACCTACCTCTTTAAACCAAGTTATGGCATCTGAAATTTCAGAATCTTTTAAACCATTTTGGGTTAAATTTTCCACAAGAACTGGAAATATGGCATCAAATTCTTCCAACTCTGAGGTTGATTTTACTTTTTTATTTGAATTGGTTCCATTAGTACCATTGATGTGTGCCATTTTTCTATTTCTGCAAAATTATGAGATGTATGCTTAAATACAAAGTAGGTCCACAAGCTGATGCCTTTCGCTTTGGATAATAAATTGTGGTGGTCTGTGGGTCTGTGTTTAATTGGATCATTAATTCAAATTAATGACAATTTAATCACCTAATTATAATCATATTGAAATAATCCTAATCAGGCAATGCTGGCTGAATTTCAATTATAATAAGCAACAAGCTGTCAAATAATTTGCATTATCCACAATATCTACCTGCTACCACCAATCTGATTAAAATGCAAAGCTGGGTGTTTCATAGATGACCAGTGTAGAAACCCACAGAAAAAAAACATGCCAACAAACATCCTGATATGCATTTTAATCTGATTAATACAAGACCCAGTGACTTTTAAAATGGTCCTTCTTTTAGCAAGAACAACTATTATGGATATACTACTCCTTTAATTTAATTTTTGCAAAGTTTCAATTCACTTACAGGAATCTTTATCAAGCATAACAATTGGTCCTTCTTTTAGTTGTTTTTGTTTCGGATTTGGTGTATAAAATGCATTTACACTAGTCAAGCCACTCAAAAGCTCTTCTTAATCTTAATCTTAGTCTTTCTTTGTTCCTTGTCTTTGACACTTTGAACGTCTGAGATGGCAAGTTGCTTTGACATGGGGAATTTAAAAGATCTCTGATCAAAAGCATCAAAACCCATTATCTTTCAATTTCAGTTGAATTTCATTGCAAAAGAGAAATAGGCACTAACAAAGTGACTGATGATGCTGAACTCTGGGCCTACTTTCCATTTAGCATTTTACTCATTAGTATAGTGAAAGGGGGAAATATGTTATTTACGTGTTCACCTTAGATTTAGTAGAGAACTTTTCTACCTACCTTATCAGTCAACGGGAAGGATATGAATGCACCACAAGATAAATCTCAATACTGGGATTAAATAAATGAATCAATTAATGAAAGCAAAGTTTGTCACCAGCTTTTCAGAATGGCTTCTGTATCAGGTGAAAAATCTCTCCCCGTTCATTGGTCAGTTATCTCGAAAGATGTTACTTAATTTAGAAAATCAGTCACGTGGGTTCAAAATCCACAACACATTTTAACTTTTGACCCGACTACAGACCACAACTTATTCATTTAGGGTGGATGAGGTTTAGCCCATTCCCATGAGGACAAGCCCATAAATAATAATTGACTCACTACTTTGGTATTGAACCAACACTTTTCATAGGCTTAATAAAAAGCCAAAAGGGATATACTGGCTCAAGAGGAACAATGGAAAATCAGGATTTGAAATCAGGTGTTTTGAAAGGGTAAGCATGTGCATTAAGTATAGGCCTATTTGGGGGAATAGATATTTTCGCATCTTTCTATGTATCAAAAACACCTGAGTAACTTTTCATGGGGAATTTTTCTGCATATATGACCTTTGGCATGTGCATTACGATTCCCCCCACCCCAGAAATGTGACTGAGACCATTATATGTATCTTTCAAAAAGATAAATTTCCCACCCATGAAGGTAATTGATGAGATATAAGCCAGCCAAGAGGAATGTACATACTTTATTGATTATATGAGTAAGATTATTAGGCTATAAACCATAGATATTATATTATGAAGTCAAAGCTTTACATTTATTATTGCAATGATGGACACAAATTGAAAACAGAAGACTTTATTCCAGAATTTCCCTTTACCATAAGAGTTTTTTTTTTATGAGTATCAATGTCAATATGATTGTCAGATCTCCATGGTTCCTGTAAATATAGAGATACTTAAATGTATCTTAGGTTAAAAGCAGGTTGTAATTAACATCTAAGGCCTTTGTGATGGCGAGGTCATAGTATAATTAATCGAAGTGTAAGACCCACATGCCTCTGACAGAAACTGCAAAGGGTGCAGATATAGTGTAGGGGATACACATAGAAAACCTTTTAACAATCTCTTGAATTGTGATCAAAATTCAACCATGCCAAAGAATAATATGTAAGAGATATGAAGAAGAAATTTCGTAATTTTTTTAACCTTATAACATTAAACAAATCTGTAGCCCAAACAACAAAATTGTACACAATAAATAATATTATAAATATAATATGAATAATTGAGGCTGAAAATGTAACTACTCACTCTATCAACCTTAGAGGTTCATGGATTCAATGATGGAACTCAATTTCAGCTACCTATTATCATTTTTCAGAATAAAAACTGGACAATTCTACAAATCCGGCCAGATTTCAGTAGAGGAACAGATATTGACACATGTAAATAGCACATACAGAACAGTATCATTCTAACAAAGCTTTCTACATTTGATGTAAAAAAAAAATTTATGTTTTGAATGATCCCCAGAAGTGCTTTAGTATCTTTGCTTAACTTTGACTAGTCTTTTATTTTCATTCACTTCAATGGTTCAAATTGAAAACTTAAATATCATCCAGTCCATTATCTGACCAGGCTACGCTAGCCTCTTTCATACATTCCAGAGTCAAATGATGCCTTATGTTTCATCAAGCAAACAATAGAACAATAGATTAGAACTAGGTGTCAGATGATGACAACAGTATAATTATTGATGGATGGATAAATAATGTCATGATGTCTCTGTATTCTATACTCGGAACTAACTGATATTCTCTCTAGGAAATGTTTCAATGATAATAGTGAAAAGTGGTATGACATACAGCTCAAGCAAATAAAAACATTCATACTTTTTGACAAACAGTGATTATATAATTCTCATTATTATACATGTAGTCAGCTATATATAAATATTGCATTGATAGAAATAAACAGTTTAAGATAGAGTTTTTAAATAAGATTATCAGACAGAAGTACAAAAAAAACATTATAGATATAGTCAAGTTTTCTGATTTCATCAAGGGAGTCAAACACAATCTAGCTCTTGATCCACCAGGATAATTTTGACAATTTGATCATAAAAACTCTGTCAATTAACGGCAAAAAAACAGAGGCTTGTAGGCAGAAACATCTTACAGATACTTAATCCAGATTTGATCCTGTAATTATTTGTAATATTTCAATTCTAGGCAAGCAATCTCAGTCACTTTCAGAATGAAAATATGACGTTAGATTTGTCTGTGATTAGATAAACCTCCAGCCATAAACTATGTTTTATCAGACATTTTGCCTTGATTTATACCAGTTTAAGGACATCAATAGCTTAAACAATAATTTTATAAAACCCTATCATAAAACTTGTGGAGACTGACATCAGTGGTTACTTCTTCCTCTTGTATATTTTCATAGCAAAAGCTATAAACATTTGTTTAGGTAAATTTCCACTAGATTTTTCTATTAAATTCATTAATTCTTGATAACTTTTTTCTTCATAATCCTGATAAACTTGTGATAAATTTAAATCACGATATAGTTTTTTCACTTTTTCTATTTTTTCTTCATCATTTTGAGCATAATTTTCCTGAAAAAAAAAAACGAGAAAACACGAGCTTATTCATTGCCTGTTTTATCAGCCTGTGTCATTGTCTCAAAGACTGTCATTCTCTGAGTGAAATTGATCTCTTCTCAAACAAATAGTCATGGTGTTGTCATCCAGGTTTCCTTGAGAAAACAATATGGTAGTACTGATCTTAACTGCTCTCAATAAAAGGGACAGAACTTGTTAACACTGTCTACTTCATCGAAGTAGAATGGCCAAACAACACAGCCACAATACAGCTAATGACTTGCCATATATTCAAGTATGATAGGCTAAGATGTTCTTAGTCTGGATATAAGGGATATCAGTCACCTTGTTCAAATGATGCAAATCCTAATATTGCAATTCACCCCTCAACAAATTTGTTGCATTGCTGAAAATTTTATATCCAAAACACTGTATGGAAAATAATATGTCAATACCTGTAAAACTTGTCTTTGTTCTGGAGTGACTCTTTGTAATGCTTGAACGACCAGCCAGCTACATTTATTATCTTGTATATCAGTACCTATTTTACCTATAACTTCTGGTGCACCAAAACAATCCAGGTAGTCATCCTGAAAAACATAAGAAATGGAACCAACTTGTCATAATTTGTGCAATCTTTCACCTCAACTGATCTAATCTGGTTTGTGTAAATATTAACTTTACAAGCTCAATTTTTATACGCCAACATGTCCGTCCATCCACAACTGCTCGTAAACACTCTACAAGGCACAAATCTTGACTAATTTTGACGAAACTTGGAATGGTTGTTTGTAATCACCCAAGGATTGAAAATCAGAAAAATCGAGAAAAATATTTAGTATGAGTTATTGCCCTTGTTTTTAAAACACTCGTTAGAATTAAAATCTAATGTCTGTAGTAGACACACAACATATTTAAGGTAAAAAATATCATCAGTATTGTTTCATAATATATTAATAATTACCTGTACTTGAAAGAAATGGCCCATTTTTAATAAAATACTTTTGGCAGTGTTGTGTGATTCATCATCGGATATTCCAGCCTGCAGAGAAAATTATTTTATGACAATGAATAATGTTTACGCATGGCAAGGAAATTCATTTCTCAGGGGCCATGGCCTGATGCTATGCTAATGAAGGCCAATAAAACTGAGAGGGGAATTTAATTCAAGTCAAATTGATCATTATGACTAGTTGTTGGTGTCCGACTAGAAAAATAATGTATCTAGATAGATCAAAATACTCTTACCATATACATTGCCATGGCAACTGGTAAATAAAAGGAATAATAAGCTGTTTTCCATTTAACTATAGTATTATACCTATCTATGGTAAAATTAGTAAAATCTATTTTACTTTCTGGTCTGGATGTTATTAAATCTAAACATTCTCCAGTCACAGTTAATTGAGTAATCTGAAATATAATTTTATAATAAAAATCTTAACTTTCACATTTTCCGTCAATGAGTACACACAAGAGCTTGACTAAACAACACAGTTTCCATCCAAAAACATAAAAACAACAATTGTATTCAAGAAAAATAACTTTAGTTCAACAGTAGTACTAAGAGCAAAATAACCTACTCAAGTATTTTGGCAATAGTTGAACCTCATAAGATAAAGATATTCAAAGACAAACAGTATGACTAGTATTTTGAAGCTGATGTTCCATTTCTTATCAAAAAAATTAATTAAGAAATATTCTGTATAAAAATCAAAAACACTTACATCATGAAATAATTCTAATAAATGAACATAATATGGTTGATCTCGGAAGTGTTTTTTAAGAAGAAAGTACATGGCAGATTCTAGAAAGTAGGAATCATTGATAGCTAGTAGCCCTACATTCTCCTGAAAATAGAAACGAAATACATCAAGCACATCATGAATACTATTTACTATACAGACAATTTTGAAACTAAAATATAATTGAGTATAACTCTAAAATTAACAAATATTTTCAGTGAGAAATAAATCTAAATCTTTTAAATAAAACAAATCCCAAAATCCAAAATTACACATGGCTGGTGAGTACTAAAAAGGATGCAAATTAAATAAGGCAACTTGTTTTTCAGTGGGCTAATGTTGGTTATTAACATTTGTTGAATGTTATGAGCACTGTCGTATATTTTAGGATCTGAGAACAATAAGAGAAAGCTTACCCTTTTATACCAACAAGGTTTACATCGTCTAGTAATAGAAGAATCTAACATATCATCTACCATTAGGGAAAATGCCTGAAACTAAAGTTTACGACGACTTTAACTCAGCATGCCAACATATGTGAATCTGATAAAAAAATCCTCATCAGGACAGCTTTCCATGTCAGTCCTTCCGATCTGCATCACTGACATGAAAACTCTGAAGTAACAGGATTGGAACCTGGACCTTAAGGTAGAGAGAAAGTCCCACAGCTACCATTGTAAAAATATAGTTAAAACTAAAACAGAAACTTACAAACTCAATACACCAGCCTAGAATTCTAGCTCTCCTGATATCATCATCTGTAGGATTCTGAGCTAGTTGATAGAATGATAATACCACTGCCATTCCCCTATTTTTCTTACCAAATGGTACATTATACTCGATCACCTAGAATAGAAACATTATTTATAACATTTTATAAACTAAGCCTTTTATCATTGTACATAAAATGTACATAAAATTTGAAACTACAATATATTACTGAAATTAATACACAAAATCTCATTTTTTTTAGTTGTCTGTCATTAACTTAACTAGATTTAATGTCAAGGGCTGTGACAAAGCCAAAAGAAAACTAAACAACTAAACCCTTAAACTATGTCAGCCCTGCAAGCCTATCCCTGTCATAGATAGCAGACTGAGTGTCCGTTGTTACAACCCATAGTAAGGTCAGATTAGAAGAACTTGGTAAAACATTAGTCAATTACCACATACCTCTTGCATTTTATCCATAACCAAAGCAACATGAGCATCTTTCATTCCGATATTCTTAATATCTTCAACTAGACTGGGGAATAGAGCATCAAATTTTTCAAGTTCTATAACACTTCTGGATTTCTTAGTTTCTTCATTTGTTCCATTAACAGCCATCCTTCTAATTTGTATATAGACCCTATTCAAAGATTTATTGTATGAAAAAGAGAAATATATAACATAACATACATTCATTTGCTTAATAGGAATCAGTGAGCCCCTCCCCTCCACTCAACAAATAAAATTACAGCTGGTGATAGCATCAGAGTTTCTAAGACAATAACGAGTCAACAACTACATCCCTGTCCTCACTGCCAGTTGCTCAATATTATCAATAAAAACATAGCATCTTGTAACAGAAACCAATGGTAATCACCTCTCCTTCTCTTTCTCAGAATCCTCAGTTCTCTGTGATTTTCTTGCCTCTCTCAGTCTCCGTCTCTTCCTCTATTGCGTAAATTCTTTGCGTCTTAGTTTATCGTTCCCAGTATTCAGGCACCGTTATTTTGTATACGTCTGAATCAGTTACGATATTTAACCTATTGGTCTTATTTCATCAACATAACATGTCAATATTCATATTCATAGGAAGAATTGTAGACAAAAATAAATTGATTGTCATGTTTTGGTGAGTAATTATATTTGATTGTCCAGACGTACAATGATGTTGATATTTCCACGTTGGAGGAAACGCCTACAAAAGACTGGTAAAATAGAAAATCGATGAGACGATTCGACCATATTAAGAATCGTGTAGGCAAAATCGGGTAAATTAAATGGGGCGATTTGCCACAAATTACTTAGAGTGAAAACCAATTGCTTATACCGATTATAAGTGTGTGTTTCAAAGTGTTTGTGTCTTCACAACTGTCATTAAAGCTATCATGGCTTTATAAACGTAAGACACAATAATCCATTTAAAAAAAAGAGGTAATGCCACTGACTCTCTGAATTGATATCTCACAGTTTATTTGAGGTACTAGGTAAATGGATAAGTCTAAGAAGGTATATGTGAAACATTTGAACTCTAACTTGATAGATGAACAGGCATAGAGCTGCTTATTCTGTTTCAAATAATGGGGTTACCTCCGAAGGGCTAGGTGGGCAGTCCATAAATTATTTTTGTTTTTACTTTATAAACCTGTTTAGGATCTTAATAACAACAAGACAACTTTAAAATGAAAGTTCATAGCCTTTATTATATAACTCTTTGTCTAGTACAGTAATAGTTTGGGCATCAAAGACTGAGCTCACACTTAATACTATTTTAATAAGGAATAATATTCTTAAATCTTCTTCAATGCAGCAATATGTATATTTATAAGATATCCATTTAGCAATACTAGGGACTCAATCTTTACTTGGGACTGTTCTCTGATAACTTTGCTCTCTGAAGTGAATCCTGTTTTTAAAAAAAAGTAAACTTATGTGAAAAAGTAAATTTAATAGGTAAAACATAATTTACAATAATGGACGGCTCAATAAAATACAAGATAAACAGGAATGTATTGGTTAAAGCATTGAAGTACAATTTGCTGTTTTTCATCAAATATGGGTGGTAAGAAAAGAAGTAGAAATAAAATCACAATCAATATGAAGCTTCAGCTTTATAAATACACTTGTACCACCAGCCATGTTAACTATCTTGAAAAGGTAACAAAAACTTGTTGAATTGTTTGTGGAAACATTTGGTATTCTCTTAACGTTTCACAGTAACTGTTCATTGGTATAGACTACATTAGAAACTTAAAAAGTTCTGAAAAAAATGTTCAGCCCTTTTGGTGAAGATCAACAAAAGGACCTAGTGTAGCTCTATGATCAATTAAAATCTGATGTATTTTAAACAAGTTTACAATAATAAATTAACAAAGACATATTATACAATGAAAATTCTGGTCTATCTCTGATTAATAATACTCAATTCTTCTTGTTCACGTTTATCAGACAAGGCTGTTAGTAATGTTGATAAATACTTATTAAAAGATTGTCGTACACTATCAGCATCCTCCTCCAGGTTAGTCTGTACAGTCGTTATTTTTCTTAAATTATGTGCTGAAACAAAGTAATTAAATCACTAAATAACATAATTATTAGCTACGTCAGAAGAGCTTAGTTGATATATATAGTACTTGGTATCTAAGTGTTTATGTGAAGATGCCATACTTAATATAAGACTACTCTTTATTACCCTTTCAGGAATTCTTGATGATATTCACAAAACAATGAGTAAGAGATTGATGAGCAATAGAAATGTATTATAGTCTGATATCAAAACATATAAAAAAAAATCTAACAAATTTTGGGTATAAAAATGATGGTTTCCACTGGTATATTTAATAGCGCTTCTTTTTTAAATGAATTTTGTTCCAAGTTTTTGGACTTGGACTTGAGTAATCTATTGTTTACCTGGTTCCTCTTCAGCTGCATTAAAAATAAAAATATTCGTATGTTAATTGTTTGCTTTAAAACAACAATTTGTGTATGCATTGTGATTCAAATACTTACGTAACTCTATTTCTCTAGGGCTACTATTTTTCTGTGTAGAATGTGCAAAAACATAACATTGGGTATCTTTTAATCCACCTTGATCCACAAAATATGAATACCTAGATAACATAGGATTAAGTGCAAATAAACAATGACAACATAAAAGATTTCTTGAAGAAAAGACATGAATCTATTGTTCAAGAGATTGTAAAGAGGTTTTCTCAAGTTTATATGTGTTTCAAGGATACTAACAGCATTGATTTGCATCTTCTCTTCTTCAAGAAATCAGTGCTTAATTTTATTGTGCTTAGTTTAACATTTCTTTAATATATTTGCCAGGTCTTTGATATTTAACTTCATATTAAAAACAGTTCCCTTATTAGGTAATAAAGTAGAATAAACACATTTAAGCATATTTTTATTTAAATTATCATGTATTAGAGCCAGCCGTTTTGTTCATAATATCAAAAATCTACACCTGACACGGCTAATGTAGAAGGTTGAACTGTCAAAGACCCAGAGATATATGATATTTAATACATCACATACATTTAAACATACAAACAAAAAAAGAAACATAATATGGTGACACATCAAATATAAATATTATATCCTTTATGAAGTGAGATAAACAAACAACATAATAGTGCTATATACTTGTGGAACACTGAGTGAGACAACACCTAGTTTTTATCACCATACTTACTAGGTCTAGATCTAAGCCTATCAGCATTAGGTTTAGCATGGGAGAAAATCACACATTGATCTTGTCTCACACCGGCTGTAGTAAAATAATTTATCCTAAATTGGAAAGTAACAATTTTTTAAGGATTTATTTAAGCCTTTTATCCACTAATCCAAAAAATTCTTTATTTATTTAGTACTACCCAGAACAACTAGTTCTTAAAAATAAGAAATTAAGAGAGAGACCAATTTGTTTTACAAGGATAACAACTTAGGTTCATGAGGATCCTTTCTACCAACTGCTAAACCCTTTGCATGGTATTGATTATCCATAGCTATTTTAAGCTGGATTGATTGTAATAATGCTGACCAAGATCAGAACATTATCATGAAGATGTAAATTTCTGAGGACATATACTTTTCATAACATAAAGTTAGTATGGTATTAGATAAACCTTCCTAGTAGACATGATGTTCTGTAAGATAACTGAACTCTTACCAATTTTCTAATTCTTTATCATGATTTTGTTGATCTGGATTATATACAAAGACAACACCATTTGTATCTCTGGCTATTGCAGGCCAACATGCTTCAAATCTACAATTTCAAATATAAAGCCAATTAATGGGAGAGAATCGTGGATTTTGATTCAAGAGTTTTGAATCAAATTAACACTTTCTGTTCTGGGATATACAGATCTAACAATGCAAATCTTGAAAGTGATAATTTTAAGATGTTGTTATTGTTTTTGTTGAAATGGTGCAAAAATATCACTGCATCATATCAGAATCAAATATTCTTAATAACTCACTTAAGTTCAACTTCATCATAAATAAACATACAAAGGCAGAATACGGCCACCTTTTGGAACACCTCATGGCAATCTACCACTCTGGTAGTAACATTCAATTTTTGGTTTCATTGTTCAACTTGACCCCCCTATAAACAAAGTGTGAATCACTTACTTCTTGTCTCCACTAACATCCCATAATTCAACTTCCATTCCTGCTTTTGCCTTGATTTCTGATGCTGACACTTCAAATTCTAAAATACTTTTAATGTAATAAATATTTTAGACATCTTTGCTAAATCATAGGCTGTTTGCATAGCCCATTTACCACTGGGTTGTTGGAATAATGAGAAAAGATGATAATTTTGTTTCTTAATTCACCTATTCAGCATTCCAGCTCAAATTTAGCTTCCTGTATGCATTTTACCACTGATAAAAATAATTGTCAGGAAAGATCAATTCAACTGTCAACACTTTCAGATAGCAGTTTGTATTCATTCCATTGTAGACAAAATGAATGTTAGCTCTATATAAAAAATGAAAAAAACTCACCGGAGACCTTGGGTAGGTTGATAATCTCCTAATGATGTATCTGTTGAATCACTCAAAAAATTCGATAATACTGTTTTACCACTCTGAAAAATAGTTAAAATCAAGTAAGAAATGTAACAGGCTTCAATTGTTTGTTGAATCCCCTTGATGAAACTCAACAACATTATCTTTCCAAAAGTGTATGTCTACTCAAGTAATTACTATTTCTTAAATTAGTAAAATCAACTTTTTATGAGACAATAAAATAGACTTAGATTTGACAAACTAACCTGCAACAAGTGCTGGAGTTTTAAGACCTTTAAAGGCTTTATAAATTTATAACCCAGTAGTGTACCGGTACAGTCAATTTTCAGCAATTTCAAATAAAATGGATAGAAGCTACTGTCAACTAGCCTACAGTGTGGTGCTAATCTCCTAGCATCAGTGTAAGGACATGGTATGGGCCCACAGTTGTCAATAGACCTAACTACAAACCGCAACCCCACCCCCTCCCCTCCTTTTCTGAGAAAATATATCAACCCTTTATTTCAGTTTACACATGATCTTTCACAGAAATTTGTTTACCTGGCATGGCCCCAGCATTAATATCTTCGCCTTCAGCATTATTAAGTTAGACAAAGTTGAAATAGTTCACTAATTAAAAGAAATTAACAACTTGAAGTAAAAGGAGAAATTGTTTGTTTTGGAATCTTGGTACAGCGCCCCTATAATTCAATGGAAGACAACTCCTAATATTGAGTAGGACAGTTCGCCCTTAAGGCCATTCGACCATAATTCATACACGGTAGGTCAGTAACGCCCCCAAAATGGAATTTATTAAATATTTTCAAGCACGACGGGCGACGTCCATTGGCATATTTAATCATAGGACCAAAACATAATTGGAGAAAATCCATATCAGACTCTCGAATTTCAAATATCTTATTCCATTATGTGAGCTCCTCTTCATCTTGACAAATCTGTAATGCGTGGACTTTGGTAGAAACGCCAATGGGCATATTTACGCTGGATTCGTCTGAAGAAATCTAGAAGCCATTTCTAGGTAAATTGACATAAGAAAATGCATTGTTTTTGTTTTGATTTTTTTTATTAGAAAAAATGTTTTATTTCATTTCAGTTGTTTGGTAGTTATCTTCACTATTGGCCGCACTAATTCTTGATGACATCTTATCTACAATGGTGGAATTATCACATTTTTACATGGTCCGCTGAAAACGACAGTTATTTCTTCACCTCTCCTGCAAAAAAGCCATAAAAAATTCTCAATATATATGCAGACTAGCCAGTAGCCTTCATAATGAACTAGGCCTATACAATGACATGTATGGTATAAACACTATATAAAGAATTGTAGCCTAGTAGCCCCCGGAAGTAGCAGACGGTAATTGTTGCTAGCGCCACCTGGCGGGGAAAATGCGCATTTCAGGGGGAGATAACCTAGTTTCCGGAAAGGCCTATAAGGAAATGTGTAGCCAGCATAGAGTAGGACGTACTTAAAATGAAAATTATACTACTCGATAAGACATTATAACTGTTGAAAAATAATAAATTAAAAAACTTACAAACATGAAATAGATTTCAGGCTACACAAATTACCATACGTTTTTCCATCACTGCCACAAATAGGAGCATAATTCATTGGACAGATCATAGGACATGGCTCATTGGTTGCTAATGGTCCACTGAACACGGCTGAAAAATAGTTTTCAATTTGTAACATTTCTTTTGAAATTTCGGACCAATTGTAAATTAATAAATCTCATTCAGAGAAGTAGGACCAAGAGTAAATTAAATAATTTTTTTATGGAGAAACTGTCTATAGTGGTGTTTTAGCTTACAGCCGCTGGTAGATATTTTTGGAAAACAGTAAATTTACCTTAAAAAATGAACTATCTGATGCTGTTATAGGCGACAATGCAAATGCAAACTCCCTTTAAAATAATTTGAAACTGGTCTTCTCAAAGATTATGTATACAAGATTATAACAATCGTTAATACTTGTGGCTGGTGTCCAATTACAATGCACTACTGCAACTAAACACAGTACACCTTTGCCCCTCCGATCAATCAAGTCTATGGCAACGGGCTTTCGGGCCTATATGACCTTTAAGTAAAACTTAAAACTGAACCTTGAAAGGTGATTACTTACCAGAAATAGCAACAGCGACTATTAAAAAATACTTCATTTTCTCAAATATCTATATCTTTTGACTACACAGTTTCACCTTATCGCATAAATCTTGTACTGAAGTGATTTAAGATTATTATTCTTATTAAAAAAAAAACCCAGACCCAAATCTTTTTATCTTATCAGTATTGAGAAAGTTACTTCTGTGTTTTAAAGAGAACACAGCCCAGTCTCAAACAGTCAAACGTACACCTTGCAGTAAAATCACAGAGAAATTGGGTTTCCAACGAATGCTTACGGCCCAAGCAATTATGGTCTACTTTTTTCTGCCTCTAGATCTTATTTATGTTATCTATATATTGTCAACTTGAGTGGTCAGAATCAGTGGTTGGGTAAACAGTTGATATTGGTTGGTTAATTTGAATGCGACCAATCTGATGAGATGCCGTGGAGCCCAAATCAACCTGATAAGTGTAAGTGAGAATAAAGTAACACTTAGATTTATTGACGGTCCTCTTTCAAATTGACTTTACGAATACAATGTTTGTAGCCGCGGCAGCTCAGTGAGCTTGATGCTTGCTCACTAATCTGAAGATCCGGGGTTCAATCCCCGAGATGATACCGTCGGATTTTTCAACCCGGTTTGTCAGTGATGCTGGTCGGAGAAGCTGACATGGAAAAAGTGTCTAGTAGTTCGGAGGGGACAATAAACCGAGGCCCCGTGAGCTGCGTACGTTAAAGATACCTCGACAGTTGGAAATTGAAAAAAGAGCAGGCTAATCTCGCTGTCATGGCAAAATTTCAGTCATTGCACTCTTCATGGCCTTGCCAGGTGCAGAAAAGTAGGCCGTAAAATTCCATTCATTTCATTTTCATTTATGAATAAAATTTGTCCCAGGTATCACATTTACCGTATAATTGCGAATATAATGCGCACCCATCATTGCCTTCAATAAATTGGGAAAAAATCTAACCATAAAACACCCTCGATAGAATTAAATTTAAAATTGGCAGATGAACAATGACTATTAGAGCATTGGCTATGGCATTTTCTTTTTATACCCAGCAACTGTAAAAACTAAGGTAATATTTCATAATATATTTATTTTAACAGATATGAAAATAAGACATAACCTTTGTACAACCTATCTAATATATCAAAAATAACTTATTTCATTTATAAATTATATTTTACAATCTATTATGCAATTACAAATATAACCATTACTTGTTTCTACTCAAATAAAGGGGACGAAATAACAGAAAGGCTACTATTAGGGAAAAACGAAATAATTTGAAATACAATGAAAGGGCTATAAATGCTCTATCTCTGACTAGATTCTAGGATATAACGGGTGATTTACAGAGATTATAAATAAAAGGTTTTCTAATTTTTTATGTGGATTGGGGACACTGATCAATTTGCACCTTTCCAATTTCAATCAGTCGCCTGTGGTTCTTGCGATTCCACTAAAATCTAGCGTTATAAGACGTCACTATTCGTATCACATCTTCCCCTTGTGATCAATGAACAGTCATCATGTTAGACGATTAGTTTTTGTGGAATCGCAGGAACCCAGATACACATAAAAAGTTTAGAAAACCTCTTTACAATCTATTTAACATTGAGATAAATATGAATCAACATAACAATACAACACATCAGTCCTTATCAGTAATCAGAAATCATTAACCAAAAAAAATCAAAGTACATAGAAATGCTAACCAACATTTGTGAGTGTCTGAAAATTCCCCAAATTATTTTGTGTAGTGTACTGAATATATCCAGTAATTATCTTAATACTATGTCATGGAAGTTAACATAAAAAAATCCACATAAAACAACCTTACAATATCACCATTATGTTATAACAGCATTGAAAGCACATGTATATAATAACAATATGACAATTATATATAAATCAAGTTGCAAATGATTATGTATGTACATATGGAGACCAAATATTGGAAATTTAACCTATTTTCAAGCATTCATTTCTTCAGGTTAGCAAAATAAAATTAGCTCTTGTGATCAAAATAAGTATTTTTGTACTTAAAGGGCATTCCATAGATTATAAGCTTTACCTTTATATACATTTACAGCATAGGAAATATATTATGCACATTCAGTAATGTTTCAAGACATTGTTGATGTTTATTTTATTATGAGCACTATATACTTCAGGCATTATAATTTTTATTACCATTTGATAAACCAAAATGAAAATAGACTCTTGATTATGTTTGAAAACGTTACTGGATGTTCATAGATATTTCAGTCTACAGATATATACAATAACAATATCACATATCCAATTGAAGGGACTATATTTATATCACTAGATTTCCTCTATACACCCACAACACCCTATTCTATCTCTGTGAATGGTTGGTTTTTATTCCTCCCCATTCTAATAGTTTCTTATCAGCATTCTCTTCCCAATTACTATCTAAATCTAGCCTTAGCTGAAATTAATACAAAATATGAATAAAAAATAATTTCATAACATAACAAGCTATGTCTCCTGGGGTGTTTTCACCTTCTGAGGGTCTGGGACTAGGGTGTCAGGTGTGTGGCCAACTTGTGTAGGAGAATTCATTTTGAATTGAGAGAGCACCTCACACCTGTGCATGCTGAAAATGTGGACGATACAAATTTTTGCTGGTGTGGAGGGTCTAAATGGTCTAGGAGTGAGACGGCTGAGAAAGGTTGGGAACCACTGAGCTATGTAGATTCTGCAAAAGGAAGTTATCAAAAGCAGTCTCAAAGTGGCATGAGGTGATCAATTGCAAAAATGATGTAAAAATGTTCTGAACGTATGATGAGACTCCATTTTGAAATGTTCAATATTTTTAGATGCTAAAGAACATTTAAAGCTGTATAGATTCTGCAAAAGAGAGTTGACAAAACAAGCCTCAAATTTCGTATTTTCTGTCAAACATAATTTAAACATTACTCTACCTTCCTACTCTGTTGTCTTTGTGTATCTTTAGCTTCCCATTGTTTTTGTTTAACTTGAGCTTCTCTTACAGTGGCTCCACCACAGCCCCACACCTACAACATATACATGATTACTCTAAAAATAGACAAACTATCTACCAAAATCACAGATGGAATCATCCATGAATGGCAAGTGATTCAGAGATATTCCAACCTAAAGCAACATGAAAACAATGCAACTTTATTAATAAGGGGTGAAAACCAACACTGGGCTGACCCTCTTAAGTCTCTTGCTCAGTCATAAGAATGTCATATCTTTAAGATTTGAACCTACAGCACCTGATTGACTAGCAGTTGACAATCGTTAGATGGAAGTATTGATATGTACACAGTTCAAAAGTTGTTAACCCTTTTAAGGAGATATTCATATAGCCACATGCAAGGATATGTATTAATTAAGCTGACAGCTGACACCAAGTTAACTCTGGATAGCACTGGCACTGGCATCCGTGGGCTTGAGTTCACCTCTTTTGTACCAGATGTATGTCAATGACAATCCATCATACTACAGAATAGAATACCAATCCTACCTCTATTTTATGAAGAGCACAAGGGACACCATAGTGATGTATTTCATCAAATTCTTGAGGTAAAAACAGCACTTTATTCTGGTTTCCTTTACCAATTTGAATTCCTTTAGGAAGATCTCTAGAAAATTCATTCCACATTAACATTTTCTCACCAGCTGGAAAACGCAAAGAGAAGCAGTGCATTATACCAATCTCATGATAAAATTGATTTAACAGGGGGCATATTGGTTTATTGAATTCCAATTCAAGTACTGCCAAGAAAGACAAGCCAAGCTATCTCAACCTTAACTTCCTGTACAGATATCAAATCTAACTTACCTTGTATAACTCTATATACAGGTGATATCTGGATTAACATACAATTTTCACCTCCAAATAATGACGAACTTTCTCTAAAATAAAGATAAGTGTTTTTCTTACTCAGACAGAAGATTTAAATTTAAAGCTGTGTAGCTTTATTACTACTATTGACACAAAAACTACAAAAAATATATTGAAACTTACTATGTATTCTAATATAAAACTACTAATTCTCCTTTTGGACAATTTAAAACTTTGTGGTATCAATCATGAATGGTGGGGTCCTCGGTGAACGAGATTCTAGTTTTTATAGTCAATAGTCAATGATACATATTTGGAAATTGGACAGAAAACTATAGAAATCCACCAGGGATATCAATACGCAGTTTTAGATATTCTAAGAATATGCAGCTTAACTAACCTCCATCCACAATCTGCTGCTACACAATATAAATTTCTACCTTCAAATGATAAAACTGTCATGGTTGGTGCAGAGTATGATATCACATGATGCATAAACCTACAAAAAATATTCACATTATTTAGATAAATGACACAAATTAAACACATTAATAATCTTATGTATGGGTGAAACAGTCATAGTTACATCAATATCAGCTAATTTTGTAAAAATATATATGAAATTCACAAATAGACGGAATATGGTTCTACTTTTAATTTAAAATGTTTCAAGTTTCAAGCAATTAAAATTACCATTTACTCCATTTTCAATGTTTCTAATAATAAGAGCTTATTCATAAGTGAAATAAAAGTCTAAAGCACCAAGGTTAGGACTGCAACATTCGTGTAAATACTCAGGTTCTGTTCCTTCAGGAACATAATTCAGGTCATTGTCACTGCAAAACAGAGAAACTTACCTATTTAAAGACATACCATGTTGGGAAGAACTATATAATAATGTCCAACTTTGACATCTTGATAATCTAGCCTAAAACAAAAAATTTACATACAGACCTTGGCCCTGTCTCTCAATAAATCTTGTGGAATTTTATATTGTGAAAATAAGGATATTTGGATGTTGTCAGTTTCTTATAATATTGTATACTACAAACAAAAAAGTTAAATAAAAACAGTGCTTCTGATTTTGACAATAAAATAAAAAGCATGATTTGCTCTTACCAATTTCATGAGTAAATGATAAGAATTAAGTAATGGATTATTGGATGGTGTTTCTCCAGTGGGACTCTTGGTAAAACATGTCGGTATAGTAGCTGATAGTATCCATAACATTCCCATAGTCACTAAATAACGACCTTCAGCAAAACCTTCCAACTGCGGGACTGGAGCTACTTCCTGCCAAATTACATACATTGAACGTGAATATGTACAACGTGAACATGTACAAACAATATATAAAGAGAAAAGAATTTGATTTGAATCTGTCAATACTCTTAATACAATGTATAAGCATAATGTAAGCATAATGTAAAGTTATGAATTGATTTCTGCTCTTATTGTAGAAATTGAGAGAAATCTTAGAAAAGATGTCATTATGTACTAAAATATACTTACAAGTTCTGATGGTAATTGAGACCCTGTTAATATACTAAACACCCAATTATGTACACCACAGAAAAAATGAGGACAATTCCATTTCAACCAACTTTCAAATGCATCAAATCCAATCTCTGATTCTACACCAAACTGAAAGTAGAAAAAATCTCAAATAATAAACATTTTATATCAACAACATGTCAGGTTTCTATTTACAGAAATAAACATTTTCATGATAATGGGCTTAAATTCCAATGCATGTCTGTAGTTTTTTGATGAACACAGATAGATAGAAACATCCATTTTTACAAGTATAACAATATATCCTTTTCTGGACTATATTTTCATAGTTACAGCTGGGTCAACTAAAATAATGAGGAAAGATAACTTATTCAGGGCTACCAGCCAAGCCAACCAAGATTAAAACCCACGTCCACCATTTGTTCGATAAACATGAACAATATTAAGTAAAGACTCTAACTGACTGTGCTACAAAACTAAATATGTGATATGTATAGTTTTTATGACTCTACAAGGACGACATCATTGTAGGTATCCGTGGCTATATGAAGGTAATCTGGTTTCTGACTGTACTTACCATACTAGTAACAACAGATTCAAATATCTTATCATCTCTTTCATCTTTACAATATGGTATTTTAGATGCTGATAATGTTAAAGCGTAGGATATTTCTACCATTTCTAAAGCATCTGAAATTCAAAAATACATACCAGTCAGTTTATATACTCAAAATATCAAACTAACAGTATTATCTCTTTTCAAAAGTTGACAAACTCTATGGCAGAGAAATACAGATCGGTTCTTTTATCAAGATAATCTTTCTGACTGGTACATTTTTAAGTACCATATTATTGAGAATATAGTGCATAAAGTATATAATGCACACCCCTTCTCACCCTATTGGATTTCCTATCAAAAGTCTGTGGTTCTTGTAACATCTGAAAAACTTATGAAAATATCCACAGAAAGTACTTCCTATCCACATATAGAAAATCAAAATAATATAAAAGGCTATAGCGATCTATATAGTTGATAAATATCCCAAAACAAAATATTCTTCTTCCCTTTAATATCTAGAGAAAAATTTATTCCATACCTTGTTTATTAAGCAATTGATTTCCATTAGCAAACAATCTAAAATAATATTCATGTTGTTCTTTTTCATCAAATTTCTTAATAACTTCTTTCCCAGATTTAGTAACTGTTCTCGAGTTATTCTCTCTTTATTAGAATGTCCATTTACCATCATACTGTACATCAAACTACCAAATTTATGTAGAGGTCCATGGAACACATCCTGAAAGTACAAGACATTAATTATGCATTGTAAGATATAAAAGCAAATCTTGCAGGAGTTAAAAGTAGAGTATGGAATTGGAAATTGTTTTGCCAAAAGGAGATTTAATGCATGGCATGTCATTGTTCAACAGATGAAAATCAATCTTATTATTAAAGCGTATTATTGCATATAAATTGCACTTATATAATACTGTCAATATTGACTAAGGAATCTATTGTGAAAAATTCAAAAAAATTACAATTTGGCAGGCCCCTTTTTGCTATATATTCTGCCGTTTAGTCCCCCCCCCCACCTCCCCTTATTCATTTCATCTGATTATGAAACTTGTAATTGTGTTGAATCATTATGTACTGTACTTTGTTATCAAAAGAGTTTTTTATACCATAATATAATTCCCTAGTGTTTTCTGTTATAGGCCCTTTTTATGGTCATAAACTTCACATTTTACACGCAAATAACTGACAAACAAGCCTTATAACCTACATTTTTAATTAATGTATATTAACATATATTATGACATTTTAGATAAACAGAAAAAAAATAACATTAGGATATATACCACTGTTATCAATCCAGATAACTTTTTAAAAAATATAAATTTCTGTATGTATATGACAATACAACAGATAAGGTGATAGTCTACACCTTATTTTTCGCATTACATAATAAGATAACATTTTGTATCTTAGTCTTAATGAATTTGAATCAAATTTTATTCATTTTGTCATATGATTTCTCTTGCAAAATTTTCCACCAAATCAAAATAGTTTTTTTGACTCTGTCAAGAATAGCTATCAAAGGTTAGGTTAAGGTCAGTCAGTTTCAGACTAATCAAATCCTAACAGTAACATTATTCAGACTAATATATCAATATTCAATAGTAAATAACTCCTTCAGGCTACTACATCAAATATATAAATATATATCAATTCATTATGAATTACTAAACCTAACCAATATCAGACGGTAAGCAGCTGTTTGAAATACTGTTATTAATTTTGGAAAAAATATGCTAATGGTTTAAAACATTTGCTTTCTATTACCTCAAATGTATTTCTTGATAATTCCCCAGGATGTGTATTACCTCCATCAGCTGTTAGTTCTAATTTCTGAAAAATATATAAACAAATGTCTCAATATATTCACACAATTTTGTGATTATCAAACAAGGATTACTGTTGCTATCAGTGATGACATCACTGGAAAAACCTAAAATGATCACCACACACTATTACTGTACACTAGTCTTCAATTACAGGTCTTGCAGAAAGGAAAGGCGATGAAAAATGATTTGCACTCTCAATTGTACCCCCAATTTATTTTTGACAAATAAAAAAAATATGAATTTTATACGTTTTTACCTCAAAATATGTGTCAAAATGCACCAAATCAATTCAATTTTTGGAAAAATTTCTTGAGAGAACTCTCTAAGAAGTTCCATTAGAAGCCTGCGACAACACACTTCCACAGAGTTGCCACAATTAGAATTCAACCTTGACAGTTGTCCCCCTATTGAGTCAGCCTCACCCCTATTTGTACCCCAAGTCTCAGGATACGATCAGATTAATTTATACCTGACCAAATAAATCAGCAAGCTAACCCACAAAAGAACTTTAGTTAATATGCAATTTTGATTTGTATATCTGGTATAAGAAACTACAAAATAACTCTATTTTTAAATGTGCATATACAACTCCATAAATATTATCTGATTTATAACCTCGATTGATCAAAACAAACCAAATTAATTACTGAACTTATATCACTGCCACTCAAGGACAGATATCTCTAAGTGTGATTTTATCAATAAGCTTTGGTTGATTATTTAAGGTATTTAATATTTTTATATCAATAAAAAAATCTGAGATTTGGACAGTGATTATGATGTTTCTTTTATACTTGAGGTCTTAAAGTTGCACGAAGGACACAAGAGTCGAAGTTTATATTCTCAAATGACCGAAGTATTTGACCCAAGAAACAACTTTGTTTGAAAGACACAAATATTTCTCTTACTCATGAAACAAAATACACAAGGTAAAAAAGTGTCGCTTTTTCATTCATTTTTAAAAAAAATAGACCTCACAATGACCAGTGAAGAAACATTCGAACTAGTGACAAATAGATAGTGGTTTTATTACTTATTGTTTTAATTAAAAAAAATTAACCTCATGTGTCGTTTGAAGTCATAGCTAGGTTTGTTTTTATTCATGTAAACATGTAGTTATTTACAGAATTGTTGTTGAGTGTATTGTTTATAAGTAGTACTACACAATACAAAAATACTGTTAAAATTAGCCCTAATGTTGTCAACATTTTTCTTAGTTTGTATCATATTCTTAGTGACACACTTACAGTCATGTAAATATATTAAATTTTTATTATGATTGTTATATTGATGTTTTTACTTGCATGTATTTTGCACATAAAAATTCATCTCTATTGCGTCTATTAAAAAAAACAATTTCAAAGTTTTAAGAAGATTTCTATATACAGTAATGAAGTAATCATTGCATAATGTTCTTAATGTTACATATATCAAAATGGTCAAGAAAGATAGTGGTGTTTAATTATATTGTTAAGTTCCTCCTGTTGTCCAAACAATGTTTTATTTTGTTTCTTTGATATATTTCATCATCTTTATATTTAATTTAACAGATGTTAAAATAAGATCAAATGTCTGTGCATATACATGTCAGTTGCAGATAAGGCACTGTAGAGACAACAAGGTTGCAACTCACTACCAGTAACTCTTAACACCAGTATGTGAAAATTGCAATGGTGCATGCAATGGTACAATTTGATGCTTTCAGTGTCAGTATAGACATAAAACGTTTTGAAAACCTCTTTAAAATCACTTTAACATAGTGAATAGTAGTGTGCCACCTCGATTTCTTTGTTATATCCAATAAGAAATACTTGTATAACTCCAGTAGGCTTATACTATGTTTATTTAATAACAAACCAGGATACAAGACTAGCTACTACTGTTATATAAATATTGATAAATCACATCTTTAACAGTGTCTTTACATCCTGTTCAACAAATATTTCCTTTGTAAATCCTTTCTTACTTATGTATATATCAGTTACCAATGGGTCAACCATACCTTTATTGACTTTAATCAATTTGGGCTAAAGCAGATATCAAGACCAAATAAAAGTTGGTCCACTTGCATTGATCGATAAAGTATCAATTGGCATTATAAAAAAAAGGGAACAAAGCTAGGTTGGTTTCCGAAATCATTGATAGTGGCATCTTAAATTTTCTTATCCACCACTTATCATTTACAGCAACTACTCAGATCTCACATTGCTGTATTTTTCAAAAATGGATAACAACCATTGAACTTAAAGAGCTCATTGTATAACAATTAAATGATAGAAAAAAAAGTGATATCAAATTTTTTGAAAGTACAAGTAGTTAGCCTTGACATTTGTCCTGAGGACAAGGTTGATATCTGTATTTGCCAGTCATGTCTGATTGGAGATCCAAAGTGACTCCATGCAATTTTGATCTTTAGATTTTAGGGACATTTTCTCGAAATTTTCTGAACTTAAAATTCATTCTAGATGAAAATTGGTACAGTATCTAAATTTTCACGTTAAAATGTATCTGTAAATGTCAATACTTACTTCAAATAACTTAGATAGACTTGCACAGTACGCCTTGTTGGAGGCCCTTCTTGATGAACGATTCTGTATTCCCCCAATGCCACCGGCAGAGTTGGATGATGAAGGTCCATCTTCATCAGGAGTAGAAGGGGCCTGACTATTCCCCATGATTTTCTTATTCAAACGAGTATTGTCCTATTAATATATCATTATCAAACTAAAAGATTATCAGACGACTTTCTTCACTCGTGTTATGACTTTTTACTAATAAACTTTTATTTACATTTGGGTCAAATCATCCCAGGATGCATCAAACTTACAAATTCGTACCCAATCTTTAAAAAACAAATGAATTATTTCATCTGATTATTTTGAACCAATTAATATAGAGACAGGTAAACTGCTATCCATTTCATTAAAATTTTAAAAAAGAATGTCTCTTGTGGATAACTGTTTTAGATAGCCGACTATGATAATATAGAAAAAAAAGTCCGAAGAATTTGAATGTATGGTTACGTTTTAAGAAAGAGATGGCGCATAATTTCTTCCGGTTGCATATCATTTCGCGTCGGCAGCCCACACCTGTAAATTTTTACATATTGATGGTTAAAATAATAGTCTTTTTTGCTGATTAAAGATCAGATAACTGTTTAATTAACTGGCGATTTAATTAAGCAATTAGGATCGTGATTAATGCTTTATGTTAAAGGTTACGGGTGATTTATATTTGCGCATTTGTTGAAGACAAGAAGCTGTTGTTTGGCCGCAATGATTTCAACATAATGTCATTTTTGACATAAAAAGATAATATTTTCTGTGAAAATATCTCTGTGATGGTTTTATTCTACATGTGAAAATGTCTAAGTGCGAGTGTTCTACACGGATAATACCAGCAACATGTGCTTGGACGTTGCTTTTAAGTTCAACGTCTCTGTATTTTGCATTTGTGTAAGTGTCCCCCTTTCCCATTTTATTTTTTTATACACTCACATACAGCTTCCTTCATATTTATGGGCATTGTTTCCTGGCATTTGGTTAAGAGGTACAAGCATTATGTTTCTTAAGACTCAGCGTTGTGCAGAAGTACCATCCATTACCATTGCACATCTACAAAAACAAACAATGTTACTGGTACTGCTTGTCATTACTTTTTTTAATAAGCTTATTGTCTTAATTTGAGTTGACCAAGAGAAGGGGAGTACAGTTTTAGTAGGCTTCATATCTAGAACCTGACAAAAATGTTCTGTAAATGTCAAAAAAATTGTAAGGTTGAAAACCTGGGAGAGCATAGATGCATTTTGAATATGGCATTAAGTTTAACTACGGTACCGGTAATGCTGTTATTATGCCAACTGTCAAGTATTGTTAACCGAGTGTCATGATTCTTATTTTACTTTCTATTACAGATGCCGGTATCTTCTATTCGAATATTCGATAGGAATTCCAATATTTTCAGGAATAATAACAATATTTGTGTTGGCCAATTTATGCATGGCAACATTCATGGATCCAGGGATTTATCCTAAGCGTAAGAATATTATTTTTTTTTTCATTTTGTATATGTATGTACAAACCTTTCGTCTTGCAACAAAAGAGTTTTGGATTTATTTGTTAATAAATTAGATTATTATCCTTCCTCTAATCACCTCCTTACAGGAATGGCTTGGCAATCAACTGTGCTATTCTATTGTAGTGTGTTGGTGATACTTATTAAAATAAATTAACTTATGGACTATATGATTTGATTAGGTGTTTTAAAATTGCTTATAAAAAGTCTTATTTTCCATGATTAGTAACAGTAACTGTAATTTACTTCTATAAATTTCAGCACATGAAGACGAAGCTAAAGATGATGATTTTAGAGCTCCTTTGTATAAAAATGTAGAAATTAAAGGAATAACAGTTCGGATGAAATGGTGTACAACTTGTCAGTTTTATCGTCCTCCTAGATGTTCACATTGTAGTGTCTGTAATACATGTATAGAAGTAAGACTGTTATTTCTAATGTATTTTTATCAAGTTTGTCAACCTTTTCTTCATCATTAGTACACTGCATTTTAAATATGTTTCGATACGAAAGCCATAATCATTAGAAAAGTGTATTCCACATTTATTTGTGTCAAGTTTTTCTTTTCTAAATTACACTTTGCATTTCAACATATGTTTCAATACAAAATCCATAACCAGAAGTCAAGACAAAAGTGCATCTGTTGCTTTGTAAACATCTGAACTTTATTTTTTAAAAATCATTTGATAAAAGTGTCTTGATTGTGACCAGCCTGTATTTGTGTACACATTATGCAGCAAGGATAATGCCCAAGAATAACTAGTAGAAAAGATGTTTGAAAACCTAAGTTATTATCATAGCTTACAATAATAAAATTACACTGATACAAATGCAATACAAAAATTGCATGATCTTGTCGCAGGAAAGCTGAAACAGATCGATATGTTCTGATAGATGATCTTTCATGATACGAAATGGTTACAATATGCCTGTGAAATTTCTATTTTCAGACATTTGATCATCATTGTCCCTGGTTAAATAACTGTATAGGCAGAAGAAATTATAGATATTTCTTTTTATTTTTAACATCGTTATCATTACATATGTTTAACCTGTTTGCACAATGTTTAGTGTATATATTAGATCATCAAGAGAGCTTACATCAAGCTGGTACTATTGTATCGTATCCTTTTTATATACAAATGTAAAATGTGGAGACATGTTGTAGTAACTTTTGTCCATTCATCAACATTTGTTGTAGATAAATATAGACTGCAGACTTTCAGCACTCATTGTAGACAAAATTTAGCATTAGACCAACAAAGTCCCCATGTTCTCATGTATATTGTTCAAGAGATATATTGTTTGACTTCCTTAACCCTCTAACAGTATAGTGTTAATGTGTATAATAGGGTTATTGTTTGTACCAGTGATAGGGTTAACTGGTTTCCATATAGTACTAGTATCTCGAGGTAGAACTACCAATGAACAGGTAGGTTGTACTATTTTTATCTTAAACTGGCATCATTCAAGTTTTTCAGCGTCCTACTTTTCTGCACCATGTGGGCTAATGAAGATGGGCAACTCCATGCGAGGTGCAATGAGGGATATTTTGCCAGAACAGCGGCATTAGCCTGCTTTTTTTCGATTTCCAACTGTCGAGGGATCTTTTAACGCGCACAGCCTGTAGCACAAGACTGTGGCATTTTCCTAGTCTTTTAATTAAATTCCAACTGCAGGAGAGAACTAGTGATGGCATTGGTGGTATGTTGTTTTAAATATATTTTTATGTCAAATTTATTTTTCAGATGACTGGTAAATTTAAAGGTGGACACAATCCATTTGATAAAGGGTGTTTTGACAATTGTTGTTACATACTCAGTGGTCCACAATGGCCAAAGTAAGTTTGTTTCTGTTAATCAAAACTTAAATATGAGAAACATTTTGGATTGGCTTCATGGCATTGATGTTGAAAATTAAGATGTGCTTTTGAGAGTTTCTTCCCTTTTATTTTCCCATGGCTTTGTGTCAGAGATATATTGATTTGAAACAATAATATCAGAATCTAATACTGCTTCATCAATTGACCACTCTGCCATGCTATGGCGTTGAAATTGATTGTTTTCTTCTAATGTGTACTGTCATAGGAGTGTGTTGTAAATACTCTCCCCCCAAAGGAAAAGAAACATGTACTGTTCAACTAATCCAATGAATCAATTTGTTGCACCAACGTAATAAGTATTCATCTAATGTTCTACCACTATTTAAACAACAGTGAGCTTTATCAGTATAATATAATTTCTTTCTTTTAGATTGATATCCTACATTCCTAAAACACGTACAATAAACGTCCATTCTTCAAAGATAACCTACGTAGCAGCAGATAAAGATTTCAAGATGTTTTCTGATTCAGCTAATGTTAATGGTATCAAACATGATGAAAATTCAGCAAGCAACAGTGTGAGTAAATCCTAAGGTTGTATATTTCACAATCTCGGCATCCTAGCAATATGTAACTGTCAGTAATAATATAGTATTGTGCAGTTCTCAATGTAGTATTGCATGGTATAAAACAGGTAAATTATAGAGATGTATTCAGTAGGAAAATTGTCTTGTGACAAACAAAAGTCATCTGTGTGAATTTTTCACTTTACTTTAAATGTGGTCATCTGTTCTGTATAACTTCTGAGCCTCTTAGTGGGTCCAATTCTTTTACTGAATGTAAGCATGTTGACTAATGATCTATATATGATATTGCTGATATTCAAGCCCATTACTTAATAAATTTATTACAGTTATCTTGTTATATTGTCAATGAAATATGAAAGATTATACAAGTTATACTGAATACATCTCTATACTCTTTTATTATAGACAATTTTTACCGTTTCTAAATATAATAAAATTTAACTTCAAATATTGAACATACCACTATAGTACATTTTATCTAATGCATGTTAATGTTTGATGTGCTACTTCATAAACTATTTTGATATTCTACTGAAGACAACTTAACATGTGTGACCTAAGGCATTGGCATGGCAGGATTTTGAATCTTTTTAATATTTGGCTTTTAGCAATAGAGTTTATTAGAAAATTTTGAGTGCATAGACAAGACTTTATGAAAATAGAAATCTATATCAAATAACATAGCATTAGACCCTTTCTAAAATTAGAAGGAAGAATGATAACTAAGAGACTAAATTTAAGGGATTAAGCATAACCTAACATATTTTCTTCTTCTTTTTTGTATTGACCAGTTGAAAATTGCAATTAGGAAACATAATGTTATATCTTTATTTAATGTCATTAATATGTAATTTTGTTTGATTATAGCGAAGAGTTATCTACCATGATGATGTTGACGATTATAAAGGCAGCCAATCTTTAGATTGTGAACCATCACCACCTACAGCAAGAAAGAACGGCTCCTATACCAACTTGTTTAATAACACTCCAACAACATCCATAGGGGCGTCATTACAGGCTGCCCAATCTCATAGCAGTTTGGTCGGTCGTGCCTCACCTAAAATCTATCGACCTAAAAACTATTACGAACGTTCTCCACAACGTTCTCGACCATCATCACAGGATCATTTAGACGGAGGACATGGCCACAGACGCGCTCCGATTGCCACTCTGGATGACGTAATTCTTCCTAAACAAGCCTCTCTTTCTTCCCCTGACAGTATTAATAGCGCTGGAGGCTACCGAAATCATCATCGACCTCCCCATAGTAGAGGTCGTACTCCAGACAGAAGTCAAATCACAGAGCGAGGTCATCCTATCATACATACTGGTCGTGGCGGTGGACAGCCATTCACATCTGGAAATACGTATGTTCCTAAATCAGGTTCCCAACCTCTTTTAAATAATTCAAACAATACAGCATACAGAAATAACTTTTCACCGGCAAATCAATCTCATAATAAATCACGAACAGGCGGACAAAATGTACCAGTTTCAGCTGGGTATAACAGGGCTATGCCAAACTCTTATATTCCACCTCATGATAGTGATGATGATGCTGCCGGTAGGCCGTTATCATTTGTTCGTGCACTTCAAGTGAGTGAAGCTGTGGATCAAAGAAATAGACAGTTATCAGCAATGGATAGAAAACAGCAGAGAGAAGAAAAAAATCGCAGCTTATATGATACGAGTTATGAAATATCTGTGTAGATAAAAAAATTGTTTTTATTTGTAATTAAATGTTATATTGTGTACCTTGCCCAGCTATAGTGGGTAAAGACAGATGTCAGGAGAGCCAATTTATTACAGTGATTGGTGCATGCTTTTATATAGTTTGGACTGAAATTCAGCAAGAAAAGTTGTAGGAGTTGTTGATACCAAAACAGTTATTATAAAGCTGAAAATGGACAAAAGTGAGAGCATAAGAACAAGTTGTGTTCTAATTGAACATAACGTATAAAGAAAATGATAGATGATAAAACGAAAAAGAAACTATGCTACGAGTGATTTAGATTTTTTCCTCCTCTTCATGATTTGAAATATTAAATGTGTATCAAGGAATAGTCTCAGATATTTCATTGAATTCATATTTTTCTCAACTTTGACTCATTTAGAAACATTTAGAAATTTCTAGAATTTTGGTGCAATTTAACCTAATAAACTGCTATATAGGCTCTTTATCATATATACTTTATACTTAGACTTATTCTTCATACATTGGTCGATTAGATGACAAGTTAGATCCAATTCCAGCCAAAGCTGATATCACAGACTAGGGCCATGCATTCTGTCAGATGTTGAATATACAGAGAATGATATGTATTGAACAAGACTTAAAATCCAATTCTTGTATGAAATTTTGACTTCTCATAGAGCACCAAATTTTCTTCAGATTTGTTTTGATAGCCTTGTATTGCTTCTAAACTAATATTACCTAAGCTATACCAATAGGCACATTAATTAACAATAGCGCTTGATAAGGAAACTGTTAAAGTTATTTGTTTTGGAAAGAGAACCTGTTATGTAAAGGAACTATAGTTGCCTATCCTTAGTATAGGCTTCCTAACCAATACTATGTGAATAGTTAGAATAAGCCTTTCTGTCTAAATGATGTTTATAAAACTGGTATAAATGCTCAATGTATATATCTTTTATATTGTAGTGAGTTATTTTAATCATTGTAAACTGATATCTGTTTGTAACTTTATAAAGAACTGTACGGTTCAGTCATCTTTTATAAAAAAAAAAAAACTTCAGTTGCCAACAGCTCAAGCTCAAACTCCAAAAAAAATTGAGTTTCATTATCTTCAGTTTTGAGTCATATTCCATGTTTTATATTAAAGAAAACTCCAAGAAAAGCTTACAGGTCTGCCATTGCGAAACGTAAGCTTATTTCAATATACAATGATTATGTTGCAAATGTTTTATACTTATAGTAATAATATATTTTGTACATCTACTATGCCTTCTTATTCTGCTGTTTCATCTTAATTATCAGGTGCTTTATACCTCAAGAAATATATTTTGGACCACTGTAGCTCATACAATTATAGCTTGATTTGACTGGAGACTGTCATCTAGATAATTACTTTACCAGCTAATAGATCTTAATTTCAGCCATCCATATCACTTTTTAGAATTCAAATCTGACATCTGTTACAGTTAAAAGAAAATGAAATGACTTTAGATCTGAAAAGTGCTATTAAGAGCTGAAATTGACCAATTGGTTCAGCAAGTATTTAGACAACTGTACCTCTTTTATCATAGTACTTACATATGTTACATATTTTATTTTGTTATGTTATTTTCAAGGCATTAGGTTAGAATCTCAATGTAAATATCAGAAATTGCTTGCCTTAAGATCGATAGAATACGGAAAATGACTCTGAAGCTACCATGGATGTGTATTTTCGAAAATATATTAGCGCTAGGATGACACTTTTTTTAGGACAAATGTTATTTGAAAATGATTTAAAATTTGAAATTTTTTTACACACGTCTAATATGAAAATTGTTGACAGCAACAATCATTTTGCTTTCGTCAGAGTTTGAAATAGGTTTGAAAAGGGAATTTCAAGATAATCTAAGGGGAAAACATTTATAATAAAAACATATTTTAGTTGATTTGTTGTGTGGTACTTAAATCTTAAATAACAAGGCTCTGTTTTGTCTGAATTGATTTGGGTTTTATAGTATAATTTGCTGTGTTGAATGGAGTGATAGATATATACCTATTTTCATTTAAGTTCTTGCCTATAAAAACCTTTTCTCAACTGAGCAAGGAATTGATTTATTCTAAGGTTATTTGAACATTATTTGCTCATTTTTCCATTGCCATAAAACAAATTCTTTTGAAATTTAAGGTTCTTAAAGGCATTCATTCCTCTAATTATTAACTTCATGATAGAAGGTCATACCAATTGCCTCTTTAGCATTAAGGGACATAGGAGAATCACAGGGCCTCGATGTATTGGTAAAACTTCCATTCACATGCATTGGTGCATTTAAAAATAATATCACATATTTTGAAAAGGAGATTTAGTGCTTTTATTAATCATTTATTATAGAGAGAAACAGGGTTTTTAATATTATTTCAGCCAAATATTCTTTAATATCATTTGTTATAAATATGCTGATCTTTATTTTAGTAAATTTCATTTCAAGTTCTTTAATATATCATTGCAAAAGTATATTTTTGATTATCTTATTCTTTATATATAGAGAGTGTATACATTGTACAGAATAAATTAGCATGAAATACATAAATATTATGTAAATTATCCACCATGAATATGTAAATCTGATCATTTATATTTATTTATGTAAAAGAAATATGTATAGTGCAAAATATAATGTGACAAAACATGCAACCTGGTGTTTTGATATATAACAACCTGTACAATAACTATGTCTTAAAACGCTTAGTTTGAGTGTA